TACGCTTTGTTTATGCTCGGTTCACTCGCTTTAAAATGATATTATTTGCCCACAGAATCCCCCACCCACCTTAATTAAATTCCAGTCATGAGAATTTGATTGAGGTTTAACTGCACTGACTTTATTGCTTAGTCTAAGCATGATTTGTAGCAGTAAGGACAATGGGGTATAAGCCTAAAGGAGAAACAGACCAAAAGGATGCTTGGTGATTCTGGTCCCTACTCCCTACCACTGATGTGTATTGTTCAATCTGATTCATTGGGCTTCGCCTATATCTGCGTGTGTCAGGATAAGCAGGACAGGTTATCCAATTAAAGGAAACCTGGAGAGCACTTTGTAGCCCAGTAGTTAGTTAGGAAGCCTTACTGGTTCGTGGAGACTTGATTCTGCGGTAATATGAATTCACAGGAGGTAGCCTAGTCTCAGGAGTCAGTATTCTAGCTACTCCATGTCTGAACAGTCATACTGAAGTCTGGACAATAGCCTCTCTGTCTACGAGAGTCAATTAGACTGCAACCTTTCCTGCTCTGGATCTGCCCTTGGGAAAGGTGGTGAGAGGAGCCTAAGGACAGTGGTTTAGCTGTGGGCTTGAGTGCAGAAATCCCCCCCCATGCCCACTTCTTATACACACTCAGACCCTCAGCATTCAACACATTGGTTTCAGTCCGACACCTTCAGTATACAGAAGGCAGCGTCTCTCTGATTTGATTGTTGGACCTCATGTTTTTGTAAGTTGAAAATGACATGTCTGTGCAAATTGTGTTTTTTGGGCTATAAGGTAACAGTTGTACTAAGAGACTTAGTTCAGGCATTGAGGGGTGTATTTCAGTTAGGGCTGGCACAATCACTGTGTAATCGTGTACCTGATGAATATGGATGAAGACCATCATGAAAATAATTTAACAGTTTTATTTATAACAGCTGACTGAAGACGGGACTTTCGGGCGGTTGAGTCCCTGCTGAATCAAGCGAGGTGTTGCAGCAAACAAGGTGTTGTAGCAAACGCCTCCCTTTCAGCAGGAGCACATGCAGCCAGGAGCGGAGGAGAGGATACTTATTTTTATATATTTTTTTGGCTATTCAAACTATTATAATGGTGACCAGTCTTTTGTCTAACCAATAAGTCATCCAAAATTCAATGACCATCACAGCCCTAATTCAGTTGCTGACATGTAGGGAGTCTTTCAGAGCTCACCTTTTACTTTACCTTACCTGAAGAAGGGTTTGTGACCTGTTTGGGTATAAGGTGACTAGGGCTGACCCCATTTAGTCGACTAGTCGATTGTTTGATCGTTAGGCTGTTGGTCGACCGAGATATATATATTTTTAGTAGAGCATGGCACACATAGACACCTGTATGATTCGCGCCTGTCTCAGTGGACTAATCCATTGCGGAGGCTGTGGGGATGGCACAGTCCATGAAGAAGGGGAGTGTGGCTAAAATGCACAAGGCACATCTCTCTGCAGAATGCGCTCTCTCCCGCCAATTCTTGCACATTCATTGTTTATTTACTTAATTGTGTGAATTGTTTGCCCTTCGATTGTTAGTCTATCAATTCCCCATTACATATATCACCAGTAGTACATTTACTGTTAATTCCCATAATTTCTAATCTACAGTATTTGTTTGGTTACCACATGCCAATGATTTTGAGATACGAAGATGTTGTTATAAATTAAATGAATCTTCCATGGAAATGTGCATATGAAAATCATAACTGGCACGCAGATTGGTAGAAATGGTAAGATAAAATTGGCGCTCCACATGAAAAAGGTTGCCGACCCGGTAAGATAAATTGGCGCTCCACATGAAAAAGGTTGCCGTCCCCTGGTGTAGCCTATTACCGGCAACTTCAGAAGAGTAACTGCAGAATCTGCAAATGACAGCACGAGCGGGAGAAGTAGGGTCTGGTCGGGAACTTGTTATCTTGATCTCTGGCTCCCTCTTGAGTTATTTGTATGTCTTAATTATTTCATCAAACAGTAAGCTTAAAGCATCCGACAAGCTCAGTGCATATAGTTGATTTTATTAAAACACATGGGGTGTGTGTATATATGGAAAAAATACAAGTTTAAAATGTTTTCCAATCGATTGGTCGAAAGAACATACCACTCTCTAAAGCTGACACCTACAATATTTGGATTTTGCTACATACAGTGTATTCGAAAGTATTCAGACCTTTTGACTTTTCCACATTTTATTACGTTACAGCCTTATTCTAAAATGGATTAAATAGTTTTTTCCCTCATCAATCTACACACAATACCCCATGCTACGTTCACCTAATTTCGATAGGTTACAATGTCTGCATTAATGATATATGTTTTAGGGGTTAAGAGGCGGGAATTAGCCTTTCTCTCAAAAGGAAAACTCAACACGAAAATGGCTCAGTTGACGCTGCTGCCACAGGGAGGCGCCTCTCCCCCACTCAAATCGGACAGGTTATGACCAACTTTGGCAGCTCCATCATTCAGATTTGGACAACAATATCAAGGTAAGATAGTATATAATTTGTTTTTATGTTGGTAATGATATTTTTTCCAATTGATAAGATCAGTCTGTGAAATTAACTTTTGACACTAGGTGAGCTTACTAGCTACCAAGCCCAGTAGACTTGAAAAGTAGAATCAGCTTGAAAGTGAGTTGACAATTTGTATCTGAGGAAAAAGTGTGTATTATCTGATCATGAAAAGCTTTATGAAGTGAATCAGCTAGCCACCTAGCTAACTATGATTGCTAGCTAGCCTGTGTTGGTCAAGTCAGTCACCCAAAACGGAGCAAGGTAGCCTACTTGATTTAGCTCTTGTCTTGTCTTTTTGATGTTAATGTTTTCTTTGATAACTGTACAAAATAAAATGCATTTGTCATTAGGTATTAGAGCTAAAAACAAACTGGCTAGTGATTTCTATTTTGTCCCTAACTAGCCAGCCAAAAGAGCGAGGGGTGCTGTGAAGGAAAATTGGATGGCTATATTTTACTAGCTAGTCCCCTGATGACTACATGGCTATATCTCATTAGGTATCTGTTTATCTGTTATATGATTCTTATAAAATATTAAGCCTTCTGGCTGTTGATTGCAATAATTAATGTTATGTTATAGCCTAAATCTTATGATAATAGCTTATAAATAATGACTTTGGTGGTCAGCTTGGTAACTAAATGTTGCTGGTCTAGCTGATTTGTGACTTTGCTACTTTTGGGGATTTGATACACTGCCGATTTTTGCAGGTTTTCCTACTTACAAAGCATGTAAAGGTCTGTAATTTTTATCATAGGTACACTTCAACTGTGAGAGACTGAATGTAAAACAAAAATCCAGAAACTCACATTGTATGATTTTTAAGTAATTAATTTGCATTTTATTGCATGACATAAGTATTTGATCACCTACCAACCAGTAAGAATTCCGGCTCTCACAGAACTGTTAGTTTTTCTTTAAGAAGCCCTCCTGTTCTCCACTCATTACCTGTATTAACTGCACCTGTTTGAACTCATTACCTGTATAAAAGACACCTGTCCACACACTCAATCAAACAGACTCCAACCTCTCCACAATGGCCAAGACCAGAGAGCTGTGTAAGGACATCAGGGATAGAATTGTAGACCTGCACAAGGCTGGGATGGGCTACAGGACAATAGGCAAGCAGCTTGGTGAGAAGGCAACAACTGTTGGCACAATTATTAGAAAATGGAAGAAGTTCAAGATGATGGTCAATCACCCTCGGTCTGGGGCTCCATGCAAGATCTCAACTCATGGGGCATCAATGATCATGAGGAAGGTGAGGGATCACAGTCTCAAAGCTGGGACCACAGTCTCAAAGAAAACCATTAGTAACACACTACGCCATCATGGATTAAAATCCTGCAGCGCACGCAAGGTCCCCCTGCTCAAGCAAGCGCATGTCCATGCCCATCTGAAGTTTGCCAATGACCATCTGGATGATCCAGAGGAGGAATTGGAGAAGGTCATGTGGTCTGATGAGACAAAAATATAGCTTTTTGGTCTAAACTCCACTCGCTGTGTTTGGAGGAAGAAGAAGGATGAGTACAACCCCAAGAACACCATCCCAACCGTGAAGCATGGAGGTGGAAACATAATTCTTTGGGGATGCTTTACTGCAAAGGGGACAGGACGACTGCACCGTATTGAGGGGAGGATGGATGGGGCCATGTATCGCGAGATCTTGGCCAACAACCTCCTTCCCTCAGTAAGAGCATTGAAGATGGGTCGTGGCTGGGTCTTCCAGCATGACAACGACCCGAAACACACAGCCAGGGCAACTAAGAGGTGGCTCCGTAAGAAGCATCTCAAGGTCCTGGAGTGGCCTAGCCAGTCTCCAGACCTGAACCCAATAGAAAATCTTTGGAGGGAGCTGAAAGTCCGTATTGCCCAGCGACAGCCCCGAAACCTGAAGGATCTGGAGAAGGTCTGTATGGAGGAGTGGGCCAAAATCCCTGCTGCAGTGTGTGCAAACCTGGTCAAGACCTACAGGAAACGTATAATCTCTGTAATTGCAAACAAAGGTTTCTGTACCAAATATTAAGTTCTGCTTTTCTGACGTATCAAATACTTATGTCATGCAATAAAATGCAAATGAATTACTTAAAAATCATACAATGTGATTTTCTGGATTTTTGTTATACGTTCCGTCTCTCACAGTTGAAGTGTACCTATGATAAAAATTACAGACCTCTACATGCTTTGTAAGTAGGAAAACCTGCAAAATCGGCAGTGTATCAAATACTTGTTCTCCCCACTGTATATGCCATTTTTCTCATGTTATAGTGAAAACCTTTTGGATAATAAAATGTAACTTTGTCACCTTGCAATTGCGAACTTGTAGATACACTTCACTTTCATTGATTCCCTTTTTTATGAACCTGCACAAGGCCTGCACAACTTTTTGTCAGTCTTAGGCTGTCCTTTGGAGGGGTTGTCAATGATTAACATTTGAAATGTTCATTTTCATTGTTTTGTTTTTATGTCAAAGTTTTAGAAATGGATGGAGGAGACCAGTACCAGTGGATAATGCAGTCCATGAGGAGGAGGACTCTGGCGACAGATGAACAGCGGGTGATTGCTGCGGAAGGCCTGCAGGATGAGGAGGACCATGAAGGCTTTCTTAGAGGAAGATGCCCTTGATGCTGATCTACTCTGATAAGATGAGGATGAAGAGAAGGAGATCAAGGAGCCAGAGGAAGTTGAGGAGCCTCTCAGCCAAGCTCTTCAACTGGAAGGTAACTATAAATGATGTGTTATTGTTATTTATTATTAGGACTTATACAGTTGAAGCCGGAAGTTTACAAATACCTTAGCCAAATAGATTTAAACTCAGTTTTTCACAATTCCTGACATTTAATCCTAGTAAAAGTGCCCTGTCTTAGGTCAGTATGAAAATGTATGCACTCACTAACTGTAAGTCGCTCTGGATAAGAGCGTCTGCTAAATGACTAAAATGTAAATGTAAAATGTCAGTTAGGATCACCACTTTATTTTAAGAATGTGAAATGTCAGAATAACAGTAGAGAGAATGATTTATTTCAGCTTTTATTTCTTTCATCACATTCCCAGTGGGTCAGAAGTTTACATACACTCAATTAGTATTTGGTAGCATTACCTTTAAATTGTTTAACTTGGGTCAAACGTTTCGGGTAGCCTTCCACAAGCTTCCCACAATAAGTTGGGTGAAATTTGGCCCATTCCTCCTGACAGAGCTGGTGTAACTGAGTCAGGTTTGTAGGCCTCCTTGCTCGCACACAATTCTTCAGTTTTGCCCACAAATGTTCTATAGGATTGAGGTCAGGGCTTTGTGATGGCCACTCCAATACCTTGACTTTGTTGTCATTAAGCCATTTTGCCACAACTTTGGAAGTATGCTTGGGGTCATTGTCCATTTGGAAGACCCATTTGCGACCAAGCTTTAACTTCCTGACTGATGTCTTGAGATGTTGCTTCAATATATCCACATCATTTTCCTTCCTCATGATGCCATCTATTTTGTGAAGTACACCAGTCCATCCTGCAGCAAAGCACCCCTACAGCATGATGCTGCCACCCCTGTGCTTCACGGTTGGGATGGTGTTCTTCGGCTTGCAAGCTACCCCCTTTTTCCTCCAAACATAACGATGGTCATTATGGCCCAACAGTTCTATTTTTGTTTCATCAGACCAGAGGACATTTCTCCAAAAAGTATGATCTTTGTCCCCATGTGCAGTTGCAAACCGTAGTCTGGCTTTTTTATGGCGGTTTTGGAGCAGTGGCTTCTTCCTTGCTGAGCGGCCTTTCAGGTTATGTCGATATAGGACTTGTTTTACTGTGGATGTAGATACTTTTGTACCTGTTTCCTCCAGCATCTTCACAAGGTCCTTTGCTGTTGTTCTGGGATTGATTTGCACTTTTCGCACCAAAGTATGTTCATCTCTAGGAGACAGAACGCGTCTCCTTCCTGAGCGGTATGATGGCTGCGTGGTCCCATGGTGTTTCTACTTGCGTACTATTGTTTGTACAGATGAACGTGGTACCTTCAGGCGTTTGGAAATTGCTCCCAAGGATGAACCAGACTTGTGGAGGTCTACCATTTCTGAGGTCTTGGCTGATTTCTTTTGATTTTCCCATGATGTCAAGCACTGAGTTTGAGGGTAGGCCTTGAAATACATCCACAGGTACATCTCCAATTGACTCAAATGATGTCAATTAGCCTATCAGAAGCTTCTAAAGCCATGACATCATTTTCTGGAATTTTCCAAGCTGTTTAAAAGTTACAGTCAACTTAGTGTATGTAAACTTCTGACCTACTGGAATTGTGATACAGTGAATTATAAGTGAAATAATCTGTCTGTAAACAATTGTTGGAAGAATTGCTTGTTTCATGCACAAAGTAGATGTCCTAACCGACTTGCCAAAACTATAGTTTGTTAACAAGAAATTTGTGGAGTGGTTGAAAAACGAGTTTTAAAGACTCCAACCTAAGTGTATGTAAACTTCCGACTTGAACTGTATACACTGAACAAAAATATAAACGCAACATGCAACAATTTCAAAGATCTTTCATATAAGTAAATCAGTCAATTGAAATAAATTCATTGGGCCCTAATCTATGGATTTCACATGACTGGGAATACAGATATACATCTGTTGGTCACAGATACTGGACCTTAATAAAATTGAATGAATGAATTAGAAAACCAGTCAGTATCTGGTGTGACCACCATTTGCCTCATGCAGCGTGACACATCTCCTTCACATAGCGTTTATCAGGCTGTTGCTTGTGGAATGTTGTCCCACTCCTCTTCAATGGCTGTGCAAAGTTGCTGGATATTGGCGGGAACTGGAACACGCTGTCGTACACGTCGATCCAAAGCATCCCAAACTTGCTCAATGGGTGACATATCTAGTGAGTATGCAGGCCATGGAAGAACTGGGAAATGTTTTGCCTCCAGTAATTGTGTACAGATCCTTGCGACATGGGGCGGCTGTACATTATCATGCTGAAACATGAGGTGATGGCGGCGGATGAATGGCACGATAATGGGCCTCAGGATCTCGTCACAGTATATCTGTGCATTCAAATTGCCATCAATAAAATGCAATTGTGTTCGTTGTAAGTACCTTATGCCTGCCCATACCATAACCCCACCACCACCATGGGCCACTCTGTTCACAACGTTGACATCAGCAAACCGCTCCTCCACACAAAGCCATACACGCTGTCTGCCACCTGCCCGGAAGAGTTGAAACCGGGATTCATCCGTGAAGAGCACACTTCTCCAGCGTGGCAGTGGCCATCGAAGGTGAGCATTTGCCCACTGAAGTCGATCTGCAGTCAGGTCAAGACCCTGGTGAGGACGACGAGCACGCAGACAAGCTTCCCTGAGACAGTTTCTGACAAATTGTGCAGAAATTATTTGGTTGTTTAAACCCACAGTTTCATAAGCTGTAAGTCGCTCTGGATAAGAGCGTCTGCTAAATGACAAAAAAAAAAAAAAAAAAAAATAATAATAATAAAAAATAATAAGCTGTCCGGGTGACTGGTCTCAGACGATCCCGCAGGTTGGATGTGGAGGTCCTGGGCTGGCATGGTTACACGTGGTCTCCGGTTGTGAGGCCGGTTGGACTTACTGCCAGATTCTATAAAACAATGTTAGAGGCAGCTTATGGTAGATAAATTAACATTACATTTTCTGGCAAGAGCTCTGGTGGGCATTCCTGCAGTCAGCATGTCAATTGCTCGCTCCTTCAAGACTTGAGACATCTGTGGCATTGTGTGGTTTGACAAAACTGCACATTTTAGAATAGCCTTTTATTGTCTCCAGCACAAGGTGCACCTGTGTAATGATCATGCTGTTTAATCAGCTTCTTGATATGCCACACCTGTCAGGTGGATGGATTATCTTGGCAGTGGAGAAATGCTCACTAACAAGGATGTAAACAAATTTGTGCACAGAATTTGAGAGAAATTAGCTTGTTATATGTATGGAACATTTCTGGGATCTTTTTATTTCAGCTCATGAAACATGGGACCAACACTTTATATGTTGCGTTAAATTTTGTATATATACTGTGTATTCGGAAAGTATTCAGACCCCCTGACTTTTTCCACATTTTGTTACATTACAGCCTTATTCTAAAATTGATGAAATTGTTTTTTTCCCCTCATCAATCTACACACAATACCCCATAATGACAAAGCAAAAACAGGTTTTTAGAAATGTTTGCAAATGTATAAAAACAGACCCTTTAATCAGTACTTTGTTGAAGCACCTTTGGCAGTGATTACAGCCTGGAGTCTTCTTGGGGATGGCACTACAAGCTTGGCACACCTGTATTTGGAGTTTCTCCCATTCTTCTCTGCAGATCCTCTCAAGCTCTGTCAGGTTGGATGGGGAACGTCGCTGCACAGCTATTTTTAGGTCTCTCCAGGGATGTTCGATCGGGTTTAAGTCCGGGCTCTGGCTGGGCCACTCAAGGACATTCAGAGACTTGTCCCGAAGCCAGTCTTGCGTTGTCTTGGCTGTGTGCTTAGGGTCGTTGTCCTGTTGGAAGGTGAACCTTTGGCCCATTTTGAGGTCCTGAGCGCTCTGGAGCAGGTTGTCATCAAGAATCTCTCTGTACTTTGCTCCGTTCATCTTTCCCTCGATCCTGACTAGTCTCCGAGTCCCTGCCGCTGAAAAACATCCCCACAGCATGATTCTGCCACCACCATGGTGCCAGGTTTCCTCCAGACGTGACACTTGACATACAGGCCAAAGAGTTCAATCTTGGTTTCATCAGACCAGAGAATCTTGTTTCTCATGGTCAGAGTCCTTTAGGTGCCTTTTGGCAACCTTCAAATGAGCTGTCATGTGCCTTTTACTGAGGAGTGGCTTCCGTCTGGCCACTCTACCATAAAGGCCTGATTGGTGGAGTGCTGCCGAGATGGTTGTCCTTCTGGAAGGTTCTCCCATCTCCACAGAGGAACTCTGGAGCTCTGTCAGAGTGACCATCGGGTTCTTGGTCACCTCCCTGACCAAGGCCCTTCTCCCCCGATTGCTCAGTTTGGCCGTGCGGCCAACACTAAGAAGAGTCTAGGTGGTTCCAAACTTCTTCCATTTTAAGAATGATGGAGGCCACCGTGTTCTTGGGGACCTTCATTGCTGCAGAAATGTTTTGGTACCCTTCCCCACATCTGTGTCTCGACACAGTCCTGTCTTGGAGCTCTACGAACAATTCCTTCGACGTCATGACTTGGTTTTTGCTCTGACATGCACTGTCAACTGTGGGACCATATATAGACAGGTGTGTGCCTTTCCAAATCATGCCCAATCAAGTTGTAGAAACATCTCAAGGATGATCAATGGAAACAGGATGCATCTGAGCTCAATTTCAAGGGTCTGAATACTTATGTAAATAAGGTATTTTTTTAGTTTAATAAATATGCACACATTCCTAAAAACCTGTTTTCACTTTGTCATTATGGGTTATTGTGTGTAGATTAATGAGGATTTTTATTTATTTAATCAATTTTAGAATATCACTGTAACGTAACAAAATGTGGAAAAAGTAAAGGGATCTGAATACTTTCCGAATGCACTGTACTGTATATGCATTCGGAAAGTATTCAGACCCCTTGACTTTTTCCAATTATTTTTCAAATTCTACCGGTTTTCCCCCTTCTACATGTCCCCTCTCCCTTGCATGTTTTCCCTTTCTTATCCAAGACATCCTGCATGCCAGCCTCCCTTTATGTTTGATTCATGACTCTAATGGCCTTGAGGATATAATGACTGTAAAATAAAGTTGTGCTTTTGGAATTATACCCATTCTGTAATATATTAAATGCGAGTTGAATGTAGGAATTGATGTTGTAAAAGCTAATAATTGTTATATGCCTTATTTCTTTCATATTTTCTAATTCCAGTTCGATTTGAATGAAAGTAGCCCTGAAATGAATGTCGTATAATGTTATGATAGCGATTTTAAATGTCTTCATTTTCAGTTTTGAATGAGACGGTGTATTCCCCTAAGATAATTATTTCAGTAAAGTTCTTGTTTTATTAAAATTATATCACTTGTTTGTCTTTACTTATTATTTGTAAGACTAAATGCTATTTGTAATTTTTTGGGGTGCAGATACAGTATGTGTTTTAATTAGGGCTGTCAAATGATTAAAATTTTTAATCAAATTAATCAGAATTTTCAGTGGATTAATCATGATTAATCACTATTTGCAATTACACCTGAATCCTAACCATTTTTTTTCTGAAATGCATACCAAAAGATAAATAACAGGACACAGATACATAATTTTCATATTATGTCTGTTTATTAACACAGCCAAATAATGGTGTTTTAAATCAAGCTGAAACATACTACACACCATAATATTTGTCTTTGTAATGTTCCATCACTTCCTCTTTGGCATTCCTCTTAACCAGGATGTACAATTTACAGTATTCAATTGAACAGAAAGCAATAAATGTAGTCAAATCATAACAGTGACCTACCACATTTTTGCACAATTTGAGTCATCTGTGGAAAAAAACATTTTCAATAAAACTTTTAAATCAAACCAAAGAACAATCTTTTACCTTTTCCTCCATTCTTTAATCCAGTTGCTCAAAAATCCAGTTGCTAACTACTATAACATGTTGCACTGAAACTGGTCTTTTTGTTTGAACATCACCTTTCAAATCTACTGAGCTTCATCATCTTTCAGCCAGTTGCTGAGGCAAACTAACTTGTTCACATTTTCTGAAAGTAAAGCTGACCTTTTCTTGTTCACAATGTGACCTGCAACTGAGAAAAGTCGTTCACAGGGAACAGTGGTTGCAGGAGTGGCTAGATATCAAATTATCTGAGGTTGATTTTGTTAATTGCCTGCAAACATTCAGCGTGGTCTGGCGCAAACCACTTGCTGAATCTGACGGCCCAGCAAACGCATGTTTGGCGTTGACATGGTACTTCAAGCTTGAACAGCTCCGGTGAAATTGAAACTCCTTCTTACAAATCTTGCAAATAACCTTGTACTTGTTAACTGTACCATCATCATTCTTTTTATATTTGAATCCGTCAATAGGCCCACTTTGCTCACCTTGCTCCATCTCGCCTCTAGCTCCCAACCACTTTCCTGACCTGAATAATTTGTCACACTGCGCATGCGTGAAATGCGTTAAAAAAATTGACGTAATTAACAGCAAACAACAAATTAACGTCGTTAACGCGCTATTTTTGACAGCCCTAGTTTTAATATACTATCCAGATAAGAAACTGTCTGATCACAGAACATTCTATAGAATTTTTGAAAAATACAGTCTGTCACTAAAATATCTAACTCATTTACAGTAAAAGGTATTTCTATTCTGATTTCAGATGATCAATCCTTACAAAATAAGGAAGACTCAATATTCTCAACGTTTTTGGCAGAGAAGCATTGATTTTCGTATAAGATACACATTTTCACGTGTTTCTCAGCTTCAAAATATGTATCATGTTTTCATAGAAGGTTTGACACCATCAAATGATTCTCATTTATACACACGAGGTCATGGTCCACTAAAAAATTGACAGGAAAGGGTTAACGCTCAACATTCTTTAATTAACGCACACAGTAAGCAGTCAATACAACAATCTCAACCTTTTTATAAAACGTTTATTTCGGAGGCACAAAAAACGCTGATGGCGTGGGACTCAAGGTGTTAACTCCGCATGCTGACAAACGAACAAAGGGCATTGCATTTCTTCAAATATAAACAAACAAGGGGAGGGCATGGCTGGCAGGGATGTAGCTCAGTTGGTAGAGCATGGTGTTTGCAACGCCAGGGTAGTGGGTTCGATTCCCACGGGGGGCCAGTATGAAAAATAAAAAAAATAATGTATGCACTCACTAACTGTAAGTCGCTCTGGATAAGAGTGTCTGCTAAATGACGTAAATGTAAATGAGTTTGAATAGGAAATATAGCAAAATGAATAGGAAATGTAGTCATTGACAAGGTTGGAAATAACAATTTTTAATATAAATAATAATTGTGTCCTTCAAACTTAGCTTTTGTCAAAGAATCCTCCATTTGCAGCAATTACAGCCTTGCAGACCTTTGGCATTCTAGTTGTAAATTTGTTGAGGTAATCTGAAGAGATTTCACCCCATGCTTCCTGAAGCACCTCTCACAAGTTGGATTGGCTTGATGGGCACTTCTGCTCCCACAACAGCTCAATAGGGTTGAGATCCAGTGACTATGCTGGCCACTCCATTATAGACAGAATACAAGCTGACTGCTTCTTCCCTAAATAGTTATTGCATAGTTTGGAGCTGTGCTTTGGGTAATTGTCCTGTTGTAGGAGGAAATTGGCTCCAATCAAGCACCGTCCACAGGGTATGGCATTGCTTTGCAAAATGGAGTGATAGTCTTCCTTCTCAAGATCTCTTTTACCCTGTACAAATCTCCCACTTTACCACCACCAAAGCACCCCCAGACCATCACATTGCCTCCACCATGCTTGACAGATGGCAACAAGCACTCCTCCAGCATCTTTTAATTTGGTCTGCGTCTCACAAATGTTCTTCTTTGTGATCCGAACACCTCAAACTTCGATTAGTCTGTCCATAACACTTTTTTCTAATCTTCCTCTGTCCAGTGTCTGTGTTCTTTTGCCCATCTTAATCTTTTCTTTTTATTGGCCAGTCTGAGATATGGCTTTTTCTTTGCAACTCTGCCTAGAAGGTCAGCATCCCGGAGTCGCCTCTTCACTGTTGACGTTGAGAATGGTGTTTTGCGGGTACTATTTAATGAAGCTGCCAGTTGAGGACCTGTGAAGCGTCTGTTTCTCAAACTAGTCACTAATGTATTTGTCCTCTTGCTCAGTTGTGCACCGGGGCCTCCCACTCCTCTTTCTATTCTGGTTAGAGCCAGTTTGCGCTGTTCTGTGAAGGGAGTAGTACACAGCGTTGTACGAGATCTTCAGTTTCTTGGCAATTTCTCGCATGGAATAGCCTTCATTTCTCAGAACAAGAATAGACTGACGAGTTTCAGAAGAAAGGTCTTTGTTTCTGGCCATTTTGATCCTGTAATCGAACCCACAATTGCTGATGCTCCAGGGACTCAACTAGTCTCAAGAAGGCCAGTTTTATTGCTTCTTTAATCAACACAACAGTTTTCAGCTCTGCTGACATAATTGCAAAATGGTTTTCTAATGATCAATTAGCCTTTTAAAATGATATACTTGAATTAGAAAACACAATGTGCCATTGGAACACAGGACTGATGGTTTCTGATAATGGGCCTATGTACGCCTATGTAGATATTCGATTAAAATCAGCCGTTTCCAGTTACAATAGCCATTTACAACATTAATAATGTCTACACTGTATTTCTGATCAATTTGATGTTATTTTAATGGACAACAAAATTGCTTTTCTTTCGTAAACAAGGACATTTCTAAGTGACCCCAAACTTTTGAACGGTAGTGTACATCCTCTTGTCGGACTCTGTAGAGGTCCGTAATTGCTGATTTTGAGCAGTATTTCATACTGGGGGTCTAATGTGTGGATCATGTCCTTGAAGGCCTTCTTTTCCACCACTTGGAACGACACCAGTTCTTTCGCTATGTATTTGCTAACGGCGTCGGTGCACTTCTTCCACTGTGTGCTGTGCTTTTTGTATTTTTGTTTTTGAAAAAGCCCCTATCGGCTGTGATGTAGATAGGGTTGGCGACGGCATTGAAGAGGGGCCCTGCCCCAACGCTCGTGGTCCCAAGCCTTGTATAGGTCAGAGGGTGGTGTACCTGAAGTGGGAGCGCAGATTTGATGTATTGCCTTTTGCTGATATTGCCTTCAGGCAAATCTAGCAAATTACCTCAGTTAAATCATTGGGTTCCCCTTTCCCGTTGGGTCTAAATCCAAAATGTATCCAAATGGGGGCAGTGGAGAATATTTTTTCACACCAGATCACTCCTTTTCTTCTCCGTCTCTCTTATCTAACTAAAAGGTGGAAGAGATCACGTGTTATCACCCCAAAAGTTAGTAAGCTATATGATCCTCATGCCAAGAGAAGTGTAATCTGATTTCCTCACTCACGTTGTTGTGATGTGATTTAGCAAAAATTGCCAATTTAAAAAAGTTTTAAAACAGTTTAGAACGCAAAAGAGTACAAACGGTTCTAAAAGGTATTGAAAAACCAGACCGGTACCGTCAAATATCTCGGTTTATAGTGTATACGGTGTCGTGACTTTCATTATTGTGATGACTTATTTATAGAATAATTACCTACTATGTTTAATTGTTACTAGATTAAATTAATCATGTAACAATTAACTCATTAGGAATTTGGGGCACCATTTCCCGAATTAACTCTAAAGATATCTAGATACAGTGAGGGAAAAAAGTTTTTGATCCCCTGCTGATTTTGTACGTTTGCCACTGACAAAGACATGATCAGTCTATCATTTTAATGGTAGGTTTATATGAACAGTGAGAGACAGAATAACAACAAAAAAATCCAGAAAAACGCATGTCAAAAATGTTATACATTAATTTGCATTTTAATGAGGGAAATAAGTATTTGACCCCTCTGCAAAACATGACTTAGTACTTGGTGGCAAAACCCTTGTTGGCAATCACAGAGTTCAGACGTTTCTTGTAGTTGGCCACCAGGTTTGCACACATCTCAGGAGGGATTTTGTCCCACTCCTCTTTGCAGATCTTCTCCAAGTCATTAAGGTTTCGAGCGTGACGTTTGGCAACTCGAACCTTCAGCTCCCTCCACAGATTTTCTATGGGATTAAGGTCTGGAGACTGGCTAGGCCACTCCAGGACCTTAATGTGCTTCTTCTTGAGCCACTCCTTCGTTGCCTTGGCCGTGTGATTTGGGTCATTGTCATGCTGGAATACCCATCCACGACCCATTTTCAATGCCCTGGCTGAGGGAAGGAGGTTCTCACCCAAGATTTGACGGTACATGGCCCCGTCCATCGTCCCTTTGATGCGGTGAAGTTGTCCTGTCCCCTTAGCAGAAAAACACCCCCAAAGCATAATGTTTCCACCTCCATGTTTGACGGTGGAGATGGTGTTCTTTGGGTCATAGGCAGCATTCCTCCTCCTCCAAACACAGCGAGTTGAGTTGATGCCAAAGAGCTCGATTTTGGTCTCATCTGACCACAACACTTTCACCCAGTTCTCCTCTGAATCATTCAGATGTTCATTGGCAAACTTCAGACGGGCATGTATATGTGCTTTCTTGAGCAGGGGGACCTTGCGGGCGCTGCAGGATTTCAGTCCTTCACGGCGTAGTGTGTTACCAACTGTTTTCTTGGTGACTATGGTCCCAGCTGCCTTGAGATCATTGACAAGATCCTCCTGTGTAGTTCTGGGCTGATTCCTCACCGTTCTCATGATCATTGCAACTCCACGAGGTGAGATCTTGCATGGAGCCCCAGGCCGAGGGAGATTGACAGATCTTTTGTGTTTCTTCCATTTGCGAATAATCGCACCAACTGTTGTCACCTTCTCACCAAGCTGCTTGGCGATGGTCTTGTAGCCCATTCCAGCCTTGTGTAGTTCTACAATCTTATCCCTGACATCCTTGGAGAGCTCTTTGGTCTTGGCCATGGTGGAGAGTTTGGAATCTGATTGATTGCTTCTGTGGACAGGTGTCTTTCATACAGGTAACAAGCTGAGATTAGGAGCACTCCTAATCTCAGCTCGTTATCTGTATAAAAGACACCTGGGAGCCAGAAATCTTTCTGCTTGAGAGGGGGTCAAATACTTATTTCCCTCATTAAAATGCAAATCAATTTATAACATTTTTGACATGCGTTTTTCTGGATTTCTTTGGTGTTATTCTGTCTCTCACTGTTCAAATAAACCTACCATTAAAATTGTAGACTGATCATTTCTTTGTCAGTGGGCAAACGTACAAAATGAGCAGGGGATCAAAAACTTTTTTCCCTCACTGTATCTCTTATCATTTAACAGTAATTTATTACTCATTTACCTCATATCAGTCTCATTCTGAAAGTCGTAGACTCTAAGTCTGCACGAACCAGGGTCTTGCTGATCATTCCGTACCACACAAATTGATTTAATTATTTATTTACTAACTAATTAAAAATGATAACACAAGATACAAACAAGTACACGGTATAGGTAGGAATTAGAAACTTAATACAATGAAAACGGGTCCCTAGCGGACTAACACAATATGACACTTGTTACAAAAGATGGCGAGTTAAAGAGAGAGAGAGAGAGAAAAAACACTTGGATACACATGGACCTATGCTCACCGTAATCCTAATACTTTGCCCCGAACTGCCGCCCATTTGGGATGAAAAGCAGTGCATGTATTTACGTGTTGGAGGTCTTCGTCGTGTATCTCTGTTGGATCCAGGCCTTCGTGGGAAGGGGATGGTTGGGCCTTCTCTTTTAGATGTAAGGCTCAGATTCAGGTCACAATTTCCTTCTACTTAGATGTCTGTTTACTTTCACTCGTTCTGGAAGTGGTCTTCTGAGGACGGCTAATCAGCTGTGTCGATGATCCCCTGTGGGGTGATTAGAGCAGTGTAGTAGACGATGGCTTGAATAGAGTAACAGGATGGTCCCACTTAAATTCACCTTCTTAGATACAGTACTTAGAACAGCTACTCAGCCGTAAGGTAACTTTGTCGTCTTCACCTTGTGTTGATTTTCAGGGTCGGGACCAATATGGACAAAAGCTGCAGCTTTTTTTAATCTCAATCTTTTATGCACTCTGGTAAAGAGGGGCGTTTCCGTCATACTGACACACTCTCTGAGCTCCCTCGGGCGTGGCTAGTTACGAGGCAAAAGTATTATCATCAGTATGATTTTGTTAGAAAGCTAAAATCACATTCCTATCTTCACGAAAACATTGTCTTCCTCCTTGATATTTTCTACACAAAGTTAAAGGATGTAAACCTGATATACACAGTGTAAAAGCTCTTCAAGTCACAATGTTTTTGGTATAACGCCTTTGTACCATTTTTAATGACATCACAAAATAGACAGTAATTTTCCATATTCCATTTCTCATCATTCCCAACGTTTGGATATTGAAATATATTGTCATAATGTTCATTGTTGGATGTTGAAGTTTTTGGGCGGCAAAAAGTCTCTGAAACAAAGGCATCCCTTTCACCATACTAGAGTGCCAGAGATAGATTCTCCTCTCTAATTTATGGCAGTATTAAGGTGTCAAGACCGGCACAGCCCTCCTGTGTGTAAGAGGGTCTGGTTGTTGCCATTTGCCGAGCTGATGTGAGGCCTTTGAACCTCACCCAGGGAGAGTCATGACAACGGTATGCCACTCAAGCCTAGGTGGCATAGTGAAAACCTTCCTCTCTGTCTCACGCAAGGGGCATAGGCCTAATTGAATTGTTCAGTGAAATCAGCTTGGAGTAAAATGCTGCCCCAGGGGAGCACAGCACACCTCCAGCCCAGCCTTCTCACGGGTGACCCGGGGTTAATCTAGTTGATCATGGCTACAGGTAAATCCCACCTGTTTGCTTCAGGTCTCAGCTCTCCAGCCCTCTGTTCTGCTAATCTAATCTGGTTAATAATCTTCTCAGATTAAAAGACTGAGTAAATCTTTGCTGTGGGCCATGTGATCAGTCTCTCGCCATGGTGCTTACTAAGAAGAATAGACTGCCTGCTGCAGCCTATGTCCCAAATGGCACCCTATTCCCTATATACGGTACTGAACTACTTTTGACCAGGGCTCATACTGCACTGTCTTGCTGACAGTACACAATACAATAACATCATTGGGGAGCCTGACCTTCAAATCCTGTTTAAAATAAATTAGCAAGTTGGCCTTGCCTTGCTTTCTTATGAATTGTAGAAATGTACAATCCCCCATGTTTGTCTCAGTGTGTGTGTGTGTGTGTGTGTGTGTGTGTGTGTGTGTGTGTGTGTGTGTGTGTGTGTGTGTGTGTGTGTGTGTGTGTCTCAGCTGGCTTGCTTTGCCTCCGTGTGAGATTCAGAGTCGGCCATTAGGTGTCACCCTGCCCCTCAGTTTCCACGGAACTGTGTTTAATGCAAGGCATTGATCAGCTGTATGGCTTTGTCCTGTCTCTAGTCATTAATGACTTGTACCTTTCTGTGTTTGCGACTGAAATATTAAAATGGATTTGATTTAGGTGGTGTAGGTCTATTTGAAATACCCGTTTCCTCATGTTGTAGACCTAGTCTGAGTCCCAAGTGGCACCTGATTCCCTATATAGTGCACTACTTTTGACCAGGGCCCATGTAGGTAAAAGGGTGTCATTTGAGACACAGCCGCAGCTCTTGATTTACCCTTTTCTGTTTATTACCATTACTATTATTACCATTATTACCATTGTATAGTCTCCTGAGTGGCGCAGTGGTCTAAGGCACTGCATCACAGTGCTAACTGTGCCACTAGAGATCCTGGTTCGAATCCAGGCTCTGTCGCAGCCGGCCGTGACCGGGAGACTCATGGGCGGCGCACAATTGGCCCAGTGTCGTCCAGGGTAGGGGAGGGAATGGCTGGCAGGGATGTAGCTCAATTGATAGAGCATGGCGTTTGCAACACCAGGGTTGTGGGTTCGTTTCCCACGGGGGGGCAGTATAAAAAAAAAATATATGTATTCACTAACTGTAAGTCGCTCTGGATAAGAGCGTCTGCTAAATGACTAAAATGTAAATGTAAAATAAGCATGATGTTACACTGACCACTTGAAAAAGAAAAGGAGAGCCGCACACTTTAGGAGCTCAGATGCAATAATTTAATAACCTAAAAACCAACGTTTCGACAGACAATCTGTCTTCATCAGGGTATAATGACAAACACTGCGGGTCACTAGTTTATATAGTGTCAAAGGACACACACAGGTGTCTGTAATCATGGCCGGGTGTGGCCTGATATCATTGGTTAATTCACAGATAAACAGCTCATCCTCTCCATGACAGATGCAGGAGGGAGGCTGCTAACTTCTATCCACTCCCGTCTGACCAACGCTGTACAACCAGCGCCTCATCCGCTACCAGTGGCAGTTTTATATTCAACGAGAGACTGGGCCGACGGAAGCGTGGAGGTGGCTGCGGTCACGCGTACCGACGAGATGCCGTACACGAAGGTGTAAGAAGAAACGACTACCAGAGGCAGAGGGGACCTTTCACACGGTCCCAGAACCCACGGGACTGTGTCTTTAATTTATCAAGCAAGATATTGAGTCCTGCCCATGTCTCCTTGCTAAATAAAGGGTTTATATTTTGTGCCTACAACTCAGTGCAACGATTTCGATGTTAAGGTAGACAAGTTTTTTAGAAACATCTGTTTAAGGGAATACTTTAGCTCCCCTAATCATGATATTTCAACTGAACATGTAGGTGGCTCACCCGCACATACTCCTAGTCCTTTCAGAAGTAAGTTATTTTGTACCTCCAGCCAATCACAATCACTCTATTGAGACATATTGCAGACTCGCTGAAAAAGATGTTGGTAATCTCCTTAAGAACAGGAGTACATATCTTTCCATAATTTACCTAAGGATGAAAAACAAGCTTTGCTTGATTTACAATCCGATACGTCAGTCCTTACCCACCCTGCTGATAAGGGTGGGTCGGTTGTACTCATGAGGACAGTTTATGTAAATGAGTGTCATAGACAACTGCTTGACAACTCCTTTTACAAGAAACTCATAAGTGACCCCACTTCCCAATTTCAGAACACTATCTTTACTGTCCTAGATGGGTATTTAAGTTCTGGTCATATCACCAAAAAAGAACACGACTTGTTGGCTATTCAACACCCTATAATTGCCACTTTCTATACTTTGCCGAAATTACACAAGAATGTTACAAAACCTCCAGGGCGCCCTAGCGGGCATTGATGCAGTAACAGCCCCTTTATCGACCTTTGTTTACTTTTTTATTAGACCTCTCGCAGAACATCTCCCCTCCTTTGTAAAGGACACCAGCAGTATGATCTCTATTGTTGAATCTCTTGATCCTCTCCCTGATATTACCTTGTTAGTTACTTTTGATGTTGAGTCGTTATACACAAACATTCCACACAAGGGCGGTATTGAGGCCATGGAACATTTTCTTCTGCAACGTGACCCAAATGAACTACCTTCCAGTGCATGCATTATAACATTGGCTGAAATAGTACTCACACACAACTACTTAATGTTTCTAAATGATTTCTTTATTCAGACGAAGGGTACTGCTATGGGATCCCCTATGGCTCCTAACTATGCTAATTTGTATGTGGGTTAAATGGAGAAACAGTCAAAAATGTTTTCTTGCCTAACATTATTATTTGGAAACGGTACATTGATGATATTTTTGTTCTATGGAGGGGTGATTCAATACAGCTCCAGGCATTCCATGCTTTTCTTAACTCTTGTTCTGAGCACCTGAGATTTACTATGCAATTTGACACACATCAAATCAGTTTCCTTGATCTTCTGATTTTGTGTGATGTTAAGTTGCGTCAATTCAAATCTGGTATTAGGAACAAAGGAGGTCAATACACGTCTTCTAAAATAGACTAGTAATTTAATTAATGCAAAACCTTCAATGGTAAATATGATGTCCATATATACGGGTCCACTGAAATACCACGCAGGGCACTCAGAGAACTGATCCATTGTTCTTCTTCAAATACTCTGACAGAGATAGTTCCCGCTCCTTGCTGGGCCTATCAGGGTAGAGACTGAGCGTGGTTTAGACTTACTCAGCCAATCGTTGGCGCACAGGCTGGTCCCAGACCCTTGGCGCTTCACTGTTGCACACTGTTGCCAGGCATAAGTTGTTATCGTCACAACTTGTAGAGTCAGCACCCATAGACACTGTTCCCCTGTACTCTTTGTACCTACGTCCTTGGACGGTTCACAGATCACAAAGAGGCAGTGTTCGTGTATGTGAGACACAAGTTCTTATCTCCCCCTACTCCCTAAAACAGCTCCTCACATTAATCACAGCTTGTTAGGTTAAACAATTTATAACAGTACAGAACAAACCTTTTATGTTTAATCATTAATGCATTCTTTCTAAGCTAGGCATCACATCTAGATCCCCACAGTGAGGAGAATGTTCTATACACTGATCTTTACAGGAAACCTACTGATGGTAACAGTTAGTTGAGGGCTGATAGTTGTCACCCACTTCCCTTGAAAAACAGTTTGCCCTACAGCCAATTCTGTCGAATCAAAAGAATTTGCAAAAACCTATTAGATTTTGGCAGAAATATGGCTGAGACGCAAAGAAAATTCAAGGAGAGGGGGTACAAAAATCGTCAGATTAATACTGCCGTTTAGAAAATTCTAAACAAATCGAGACCTGATCTCTTTCAAGGACAGTCTCACAAAAAGAAGCATTCTTGCGTTCTAACTACACGCGATTCAAAGTGCTCTGAACAAATTAAGGGAATCGTTCACAAACATTGGCACATTCTAAGATCCGATGACAGTATCGGTAATGTGTTTTCGGACCCTCCCTTGGTCGTATTCTCGCGGGCAGAAATCTCAGAGATCAATTGGTAAACTCTGATTTACCACCCCTAAACATCCCTGCACAACATCTATTTGCACCTCTACCGGATGGAAACTACAAGTGTAATGGCTGCGCTCAATGCAATGGCACTTACAAATGTAGATCCTTCAAACACCCCCAAACACAGGGAAACAGATCCCAATCAAAGGTGTTATTATGAGCTCCACTAAGGCATTTATTTATCTTATACAGTGAGGGAAAAAAGTATTTAGTCAGCCACCAATTGTGCAAGTTCTCCCACTTAAAAAGATGAGAGAGGCCTGTAATTTTCATCATAGGTACACGTCAACTATGACAGACAAATTGAGAATTTTTTTTCCAGAAAATCACATTGTAGGATTTTTAATGAATTTATTTGCAAATTATGGTGGAAAATAAGTATTTGGTCACCTAAAAACAAGCAAGATTTCTGGCTCTCACAGACCTGTAACTTCTTCTTTAAGAGGCACCTCTGTCCTCCACTCGTTACCTGTATTTATGGCACCTGTTTGAACTTGTTATCAGTATAAAAGACACCTGTCCACAACCTCAAACAGTCACACTCCAAACTCCACTATGGCCAAGACCAAAGAGCTGTCAAAGGACACCAGAAACAAAATTGTAGACCTGCACCAGGCTGGGAAGACTGAATCTGCAATAGGTAAGCAGCTTGGTTTGAAGAAATCAACTGTGGGAGCAATTATTAGGAAATGGAAGACATACAAGACCACTGATAATCTCCCTCGATCTGGGGCTCCACGCAAGATCTCACCCCGTGGGGTCAAAATGATCACAAGAACGGTGAGCAAAAATCCCAGAACCACACGGGGGGACCTAGTGAATGACCTGCAGAGAGCTGGGACCAAAGTAACAAAGCCTACCATCAGTAACACACTACGCCGCCAGGGACTCAAATCCTGCAGTGCCAGACGTGTCCCCCTGCTTAAGCCAGTACATGTCCAGGCCCGTCTGAAGTTTGCTAGAGTGCATTTGGATGATCCAGAAGAGGATTGGGAGAATGTCATATGGTCAGATGAAACCAAAATAGAACTTTTTGGTAAAAACTCAACTCGTCGTGTTTGGAGGACAAAGAATGCTGAGTTGCATCCAAAGAACACCATACCTACTGTGAAGCATGGGGGTGGAAACATCATGCTTTGGGGCTGTTTTTCTGCAAAGGGACCAGGACGACTGATCTGTGTAAAGGAAAGAATGAAATGGGGCCATGTATCGTGAGATTTTGAGTGAAAACCTCCTTCCATCAGCAAGGGCATTGAAGATGAAACGTGGCTGGGTCTTTCAGCATGACAATGATCCCAAACACACCGCCCGGGCAACGAAGGAGTGGCTTCGTAAGAAGCATTTCAAGGTCCTGGAGTGGCCTAGCCAGTCTCCAGATCTCAACCCCATAGAAAATCTTTGGAGGGAGTTGAAAGTCCGTGTTGCCCAGCGACAGCCCCAAAACATCACTGCTCTAGAGGAGATCTGCATGGAGGAATGGGCCAAAATACCAGCAACAGTGTGTGAAAACCTTGTGAAGACTTACAGAAAACGTTTGACCTGTGTCATTGCCAACAAAGGGTATATAACAAAGTATTGAGAAACTTTTGTTATTGACCAAATACTTATTTTCCACCATAATTTGCAAATAAATTCATTAAAAATCCTACAATGTGATTTTCTGGATTTTTTTTTCTCATTTTGTCTGTCATAGTTGACGTGTACCTATGATGAAAATTACAGGCCTCTCTCCCTTTTTCCCCACTCTAACTTGTCCTTGTGGTAAACATTATGTGGGTAAAACAAAGTGCGAATTAAAAGTACGAATCTCGGAGCGTCGTAGCACCATTAGGGTCAAAAACTCTGCATACCCAGTCGCGGCCCACTTTTTTGAAACGAACCACTCGATTTCGTCCCTACTTTATAATATCGGCATCGAACATGTCACCCTCCCTAGGAGAGGGGGTGACCTCGACAACTTATTATTAAAACGAGAGGCTGCCTGGATCTTTAATTTAAAGACCCTTGCTCCCTTCGGTCTCAACGTTGACTTTGATTTGAAGCCATTCTTGTGATTATTGTGATTTTCCTATTCATTGTAAATGTTTGTGGGCCTATGTAGCCAAGTTGTATCTATGATCGTATGCTATATATTCATGTTTTTTGTATGTTCTGTTTATCTGTGAATTAACCAATGATATCAGGCCACACCCGGCCATGATTACAGACACCTGTGTGTGTCCTTTGACACTATGTAAACTAGTGACCCGATGAAGACAGCTTGTCTGTCGAAACGTTGGTTATTAGGTTATTAAATGATTGCATCTGAGCTCCTAGATTGTGCGGCTCTCCTTTTCTTTTTAAGTGTTCTACTCCGTTAGCCAGCACTTCACCTAAATAGGTGTGCGTTTCTTTCGCCTTTATATTAATCTGTTACACTGACCACCCCATATCTTAGGCCTCACTCCCCCGTATCTGAGATACCTACTGCAGCCCTCCTCCTCCACATACAAGACCCGTTCTGCCAGTCACATTCTGTTAAAGGTCCCCAAAGCACACACATCCCTGGGTCGCTCCTCTTTCCAGTTCGCTGCAGCTAGCGACTGGAACGAGCTGCAAAAAACACTCAAACTGGACAGTTTTATCTCCATCTCTTCATTCAAAGACTCAATCATGGACACTTACTGACAGTTGTTGTCTCTACCTTCTTGCCCTTTGTGCTGTTGTCTGTGCCCAATAATGTTTGTACCATGTCTTGTGCTGCTACCATGTTGTGCTGCTGCCATGTTGTGTTGCTACCATGTTGTTTTCATGTTTGGTTGCTACCTTGCTGTGTTGTCGTGTGTTGCTGCCATGCTATGTTGTTGTCTTAGGTCTTTATGTAGTGTTGTGTTGTCTCTCTTGTTGTGATGTGTGTTTGATCATATATATATATATATATATATATATATATATATATATATATTTATTTTTTTATCCCAGCCCCCGTCCCCGCAGGAGGCCTTTTGCTTTTTGGTAGGCCGTCATTGTAAATAAGAATTTGTTCTTAACTGACTTGCCTAGTTAAATAAAGGTTAAATAAAAAGAAAAGTAATATGTCCTATGTTTTATGACCTTTATGTTTGTGGACGGGGTATTCTGAGCGCATGAGTCATGAGTCTCCATGGAATTAGAAGGTGCTGAAAGATGTGTACCTGACCTTGAGACTGTGATAAAGATCACAAATGTAGCAGAATCAAAGGAGGCGGAGAAACTTAATGAATACATCTCTGTCTGGCCTTTTCAATTCTCCACGCCCTCTGGGTAATGTCTGTGAGAAATGTTTGTGTGTGGGTGTGTGCCCTGAATGCCATTGTGGGTGTGTGTGTGTGTGTGGGGGGGGGGGGGGGGGGGTGTATTTGTGTGTGTCCTCTGTGTGTGTCCTCTCTGTGTGTGCACGCCTGCGTGCGCTCTTGGCTGGGCAAATTAAATATTCATGGTGGCGGGGGATTGGCTGCTGAGAGAGGAGCGGGCTGTCGGAGAGGAGCAAGTCTGTTTTAAGGCAGGCAGTGCTCTGCTCTCTCACTCGGTATAAACACAGACGAGCAGGCAACAGTAGCCCAGTATTCCAGTGTCTCGGTCAGAGCTCAGACACACACAAGCCCACACTAACGCTCACAGAAACACACACACACACACACACACACAGGGGAGATAACAGAGAGAAGAAACCGGCTAACGCCACAGCTGCCTCACCCAGATGGCGGGGAACCGTGAAGGGGAGCATGTGCTGACGGTAGGTCTACTCTGCTCTTATAACATGAGTGTGTTTGGTTTTGTGTGTGTGTGTCATCTCCATCTCTGACATTGTCTTGCTGTACCGTAGAATAGTGGTCGTGGTTGCAGAATAGAATAGAGGGTGTTCTATTGGATGTATCAGAGGGGAAGATAGAGGGCGATAATGTGGGAAGGGGAGAGTCCCTGCCTTCCTCTTAGAAAGGAAGTGATCCTTCCCGCTCTTCACTAGTACTAAGGAGCCGGAATGGAGAAAAGGAGACAGGAACAGATATGGCTGCTTTAAAGAGGAAGACCAGGAGAGAGAGAGGAGGAGCGTGAGAGAGGTGTAGAAGAGGAAAATGCAGACTAGAGAGAATTGAATCAAAACTAATCGGAGCATGCTCCTTTGATAAATATTTATCAATTTATGGATAAGATGTTTGTGTATCTATTGAATGGAAGTTGATGTCAGTCACATTGAGGGAAAGATCAAATGATAGGCTATTGAAATAGCCTAGATAAGGAGAGAATGACAGGGAAGGGGGAATATGTAGACACCTGTGGATACTAGGTTGTACATTCAAGGAGAGGAAAATGTGTTTTAGAGAGGAGTGGAAATGGTTTCCATTTCTGTGTAGCCTATGCTTTAGCCTATTTTCTGGGGGTGGGGGGCATGCAATTTGCTGCTGGCTCTGGTATTGCGTTTGGCCTGTGTGTGACAGTGGAGATACAACTCAGGGGACTGGCGTGTCTCTAGAGCTATGCAACTCCTCACTGACGTCACCCCCCTGCCTGGAACAAGGCCCAGTAACAACAGCCTGGGATAGAGGGAACCTGGCTGGCTCTGAAATCACTCCTACTATAAACCAGAATCACACACTGATTCATTTCACATTCACAGTGACAAGCACCAGGGTCCAATGCGCAGTGGATTTGATTTAAAATCGAAGTCCCCATGTTAACAGATAGGCTATACAGTAACTGACCCTTCACAAACACACACACACACAAATACTGTTCATTGGTCTGACATGATAAGCAAAATCAAAACCATATGGATGAAATTACGCCACACAAACTCAAATGTACACATAGCCTATAGACTACTATGCACGCACACACAGTCATGGATTTTTGGATTACGGTAATTGGCCAACCAAATGACCGTGGTCTCCTTAATATATTTTGGGGGGACGCAGATTTTCTCCTCTCTTTAGCTCCTGACTGCATGTGCTGCCACAGAAATAGAATGAATAGAACGGTCGTCCCCATTCAAGTCAATAATGGCATAATGGGTGGACTGGCGGCCATTGCGAGTGTACCCATAGGAGCAAAACAGGAAGTAAAAGCAGGAAGTGTACACATCAATATGTGCTGTGATTTGTTGATTAAACTCAACTGACATTACAAAAAATATGTTCCATTGCATGAGCCACATCAGTTAATATCATTTGAATGAACATTCTACATTACCATGGAAAGTATTGGGCAACACTTTACCTGACACCCCAGCGTCATAACATGTTATGACACGGTCATAACCATGTCATATATCATAACAGCTGACATAACAGGTCTAAATATATGTGTTATGACAGGTTGTGACATACACTACATGACCAAAAGTATGTGGACACCTGCTCGTCGAACACCTCATTCCAATATCATGGGCATGATATTGCAGCTATAACAGCCTCCACTCTTCTGGGAAGGCTTTCCACTAGATGTTGGAACATTGCTGCAGGGACTTGCTTACATTCAGCCACAAGAGCATTAGTGAAGTCGGGCACTGATGTTGGGCGATTAGGCCTGGCTCGCAGTCGGCATTCCAATTCATCCCAAAGGTGTTCGATGGAGTTGAGGTCAGGGCTCTGTGCAGGCCAGTCAAGTTCTTCCACACCGATCTCGACAAACCATTTCTGTATGGACCTCACTTTGTGCAAGGGGGCATTATCATGCTGAAATAGGAAAGAGCCTTCCCCAAACTGTTGACACAAAGTTGGAAGCACAGAATCGTCTAGAATGTAATTGTATGCTGTAGCGTTAAGATTTCCCTTCACTGGAACTAAGAGGCCTAGCCCGAACTAGGGCTGGGTGATATGGCCAAAATATAATATCACGGTATAATTAAATAAAACGTCATTCTAAGTACATACATTCTAAGTAATCTTAAATGGGTCTTTCTCCATTCTGATTGTTTTATACTGTTCAATTCAACCAAAAATAATTTTCAGCATTTTCATCCATTTCTGCATTTCCTGCACTCATTTGAGATCATTTCCACATTGCCACATAGGGCTGCATGATATGGTCAATCAATCTAGGCCATATTTTTTACTAAATGTTGCAATTGCGATTTTACTTGTGATTTAGAGCAAAACACTTGGGTGAACTGTTGGAATCATGGCAATATAATTATTATTCAAATTCTATAGTTAGAATATAATAGTGGGCACTTTGAATACAGTGTTTGATATGACAACAAATGAAAATGCCAGGGAGGAGTTATTGTGACAGGGTAGGAACCAAAGTGTTGACAAGTGTTTCCTAATAATCTTTGGCTACATTGAATGTTTTCTCTTAGCTACTTAAAACAGCTAACATATTCTTGCTTTGAGTATTCCTCAATGTAGGTGTAGGTCTACACTATCACTGGTATTATCAGGCTGTATAGCTAGTTATGTTTGCTCTGACCCAGAACATTTATTAGGTAGCTAACAATTAGTATTAGCGGCAAACAAGATTTAGGCCCAACTTGCTAAGAAAAGACAAACTAGCTGTTTGCAGATGTAAGAAACACAAACTATTAGTGTAATTATAGAACGCTAGTGGATTTATATTAAGAAGCAAAGTGGAAACAGCATCATTGTCATCAACATTGTTGCATGTGCTGCATTGACCATGCAGACTGATCGCAAGTGTCTCATGGTCGAGCAACAACAAATGCGCTCCTTGAGTGACAGGGGGCGGGACTAGGTCGTGGGGTAAGCGGCATGGAAAGAGAGAGAGTGGAGAGATGACTCCAGTATCGAAGTAAACTATAAAAATTGACGTTACACACGGCGTATCACATTTAACAAACCAAACATTCAAATACCGTTATAGAAAGTAAAGTAAAAACGCAAACCGGTCCGTACCGCCCAGGCCTAGCCCGAACCATGAAAAACAGCCCCAGACCATTAGTCCTGCTCCACCAAACTTTACAGTTGGCACTATGCATTGGGGCCAGTAGAGTTCTCCTGACATCCGCCAAAACCAGATTCGTCCGTTGGACTGCCAGATTCATCACTCCAGAGAACGCGTTTTCACTGCTCCATAGTCCAACTGCAGCAAGCTTTACACCACTTCAGCCGACGCTTGGCATTGTGCATGGTAATCTTTGGCTTGTGTGAGGCTTTTCAGCCATGGAAACCCATTTCATGAAGTTCCCGACGAACAGTTATTGTGCTGACGTTGCTTCCAGAGATAGTTTGGAACTCGGTAGTGAGTGTTGCAACCGAGGACAGACGATTTTTACACACTTCGCGGCTGAGCCGGTGTTGCTCCTAGACATTTCCACTTCACAATAACAGCACTTACAGTTGACCGGGGCAGCTCTAGTAGGGCAGAAATTTGATAAGCTGACTTGTTGGAAAGGTGGCATCCTATGACGGTGCCACGGTTGAAAGTCACTGAGCTCTCCAGTAAGGCCATTCTACTGCCAATGTTTGTCAATGGCGATTGCATGGCTGTGTGCTCTATTTCATACACCTGTCAGCAACGGGTGTGGCTGAAATAGCCGAATCCAGTCATTTGAAGGGGTATCCATATACTTTTGTGTATATTGCGTTATTTTATGGCTGGTTATGACACCTACATAATAGTGTCGAAATCCACCACACAAGGCAAAACATTCCATTACACCAGTGGTTCCCAATCTTTTTTGGTTAATGTACCAACCTTTTTTGGTTAATGTACCAACCAGAACATTTTGCTCTGCCCGGAGTACCCCTGAAGTACCCCCTCATGAGCATTTGACCAGTAAGCCTATGGTCTCATGAGTATTCTCAAGTACCCCCTGTGGATAGGCCTAGTACCCCTGGTTGGGAAACACTGCATTACACCATAGGCTACGTGTCAACAGTATTTTTATGTCATACAGTGCATTCGGAAAGTATTCAGACCCCTTGACTTTTTCCACAGTTTGTTACGTTACAGTCTTATTCTAAAATTGATTAAATTGTTTTTCCCACTCATCAATCTACACACAATACCCCATAATAACAAAATGAAAACAGGTTAAAAAAAAGCAGGTTTTTAGATTTTTTTGCTAAAGTATTAAGAATAAAAAACTTAAATAACACATTTACATAAGTATTCAGACCCTTTACTCAGTACTTTGTTAAAGCACCTTTGGCAGCGATTACAGCCTCGAGTCTTCTTGGGTATGACGCTACAAGCTTGGCACATTCTTCTCTGCAGATCCTCTCAAGCTCTGTCAGGTTGGATGGGGAGCATTGCTGCACAGCTATTTTCAGGTCTCTCCAGAGATGTTCGATCCGGTTCAAGTCCGGGCTCTGGCTGGGCCACTCAAGGACATTCAGAGACTTGTCCCGAAGCCACTCCTGCATTGTCTTGGCTGTGTGCTTAGGGTCGTTGTCCTGTTGGAAGGTGAACCTTCGCCCCAGTCTGAGGTCCTGAGCGCTCTGGAGCAGGTTTTCATCAAGGATCTCTCTGTACTTTGCTCCGTTCATCTTTCCCTCGATCCTGACTAGTCTCCCAGTCCCTGCCGCTGAAGAACATCCCCACAGCATGATGCTTCCACCACCATCCTTCACCATATGGATGGTGCCTGGTTTCCTCCAGACATGACGCTTGGCATTCAGGCCAAAGAGTTCTTGGTTTCATTAGACCAGAGAATCTTGTTTCTCATGGTCTGAGAGTCCTTTAGGTGCCTTTTGGCAAACTCCAAGCGGGCTGTCATGTGCCTTTTAGTGAGGAGTGGCTTCCGTCTGGCCACTCTACCATTAAGGCCTGATTGGTGGAGTGCTGCAGAGATGGCTGTCCTTCTGGAAGGTTCTACCATCTCCACAGAGGAACTCTAGAGCTCTGTCAGAGTGACCATCAGGTTCTTGGTCACCTCCCTGACCAAGGCCCTTCTCCCACGATGGCTCAGTTTGGCTGGGCGGCCAGCTCTAGGAAGAGTCTTGGTGGTTCCAAACTTCTTCCATTTAAGAATGATGGAGGCCACTGTGTTCTTGGGGATCTTCAATGCTGCAGAACTGTTTTGGTACCCTTCCCCAGATCTGTGCCTCGACACAATTCTGTCTCCGAGCTCTAAGGACAATTCCTTCGACCTTCGGCTTGGTTTTTGCTCTGACATGCACTGTCAACCGTGAGATCTTATATAGACAGGTGTGTGCCTTTCCAAATCATGTCCAATCAATTGAATTTACCACAGGTGGACTCCAATCAAGTTGTAGAAACACCTCAATCAATGGAAACAGGATGCACCTGAGCTCAATTTCGAGTCTCATAGCAAAGGGTCTGAATACTTATGTAAATAAGGTATCAGTTTTTTATTTTGAATGAATTTGAAAACATTTAGAAAAACCTGTTTTCGCTTTGTCATTATGGGGTATTGTGTGTAGATTGCTGAGGAAAATGTTTTATTTAATCGATTTTAGAATAAGGCTGTAACGTAACAAAATGTGGAAAAAGTAAAGGGGTCTGAATACTTTCAGAAGTCACTGTAAAGTGTTACCAAGTATTGCATCACAATACCAGGCAGCCAATGCAAGTGTACCCATTGGTTTACCAGTCAAATTGCCAGGGTTAGAGGTTCCAAGCCCGTTCTATTCATTCTATTTAGTTGTGTGATGCTGCTGCATTGTGGGGGGCATTGCCTAGGTAACCGAAGTGTCCTTTGCTAGTTTCTTGTTTCAGCAAGGAGCAACAAAGCATCATCACGTTGTTAAGAGCATGTTACCGCAGAAACCGACTCAACTGCACGAATGGCCCCCATCCCGTCTTCAGTCAGCTGTTCGTTATTTTTTTTATTTTTTTTAATACGGTTATGATGGTTATTTAATTTTCATGGTGGTCTTCATCCGTAACCGTCAGTTACACTGATATATTGTAACACGCGCTGCTGTTGACAGTGACAGCTTTAGATCCCATGCTTCTTGTGTGTCATTGCCTTGAGAACAGACACATCATAGAGTATATGAATGATTTACATTTACATTTACATTTTAGTCATTTAGCAGACGCTCTTATCCAGAGCGACTTACAGGAGCAATTAGGGTTAAGTGCCTTGCTCAAGGGCACATTTACGTCATTTAGCAGACGCTCTTATCCAGAGCGACTTACAAATTGGTGCATTCACCCTATAGCCAGTGGGATAACCACTTTCCAATTTTATTTTATTATTTTTTTTTGGGGGGGGGGGGGGGGTAGAAGGATTACTTTATCCTATCCCAGGTATTCCTTAAAGAGGTGGGGTTTCAAATGTCTCCGGAAGGTGGTGAGTGACTCCGCTGTCCTGGCGTCGTGAGGGAGCTTGTTCCACCATTGGGGTGCCAGAGCAGCGAACAGTTTTGACTGGGCTGAGCGGGAACTATGCTTCCGCAGAGGAAGGGGAGCCAGCAGGCCAGAGGTGGATGAACGCAATGCCCTCGTTTGGGTGTAGGGACTGATCAGAGCCTGAAGGTATGGAGGTGCCGTTCCCCTCACTGCTCCATAGGCAAGCACCATGGTCTTGTAACGGATGCGAGCTTCAACTGGAAGCCAGTGGAGTGTGCGGAGGAGGGGGGTGACGTGAGAGAACTTGTGAAGGTTGAACACCAGACGGGCTGCGGCATTCTGGATGAGTTGTAGGGGTTTAATGGCACAGGCAGGGAGCCCAGCCAACAGCGAGTTGCAGTAATCCAGACGGGAGATGACAAGTGCCTGGATTAGGACCTGTGCCGCTTCCTGTGTAAGGCAGGGTCGTACTCTCCGAATGTTGTAGAGCATGAACCTGCAGGATCGGGTCACCGCCTTGATGTTAGCGGAGAACGACAGGGTGTTGTCCAGGGTCACGCCAAGGCTCTTCGCACTCTGGGAGGAGGACACAACAGAGTTGTCAACCGTGATGGCGAGATCATGGAACGGGCAGTCCTTCCCCGGGAGGAAGAGCAGCTCCGTCTTGCCAGGGTTCAGCTTGAGGTGGTGATCCGTCATCCATACTGATATGTCTGCCAGACATGCAGAGATGCGATTCGCCACCTGGTTATCAGAAGGGGGAAAGGAGAAGATTAGTTGTGTATCGTCAGCGTAGCAATGATAGGAGAGGCCATGTGAGGATATGACAGAGCCAAGTGACTTGGTGTATAGGGAGAAAAGGAGAGGGCCTAGAACTGAGCCCTGGGGGACACCAGTGGTGAGAGCACATGGTGCGGAGACAGCTTCTCGCCACGCCACTTGGTAGGAGCGACCGGTCAGGTAGGACGCAATCCAGGAGTGAGCCGCGCCGGAGATGCCCAGCTCGGAGAGGGTGGAGAGGAGGATCTGATGGTTCACAGTATCAAAGGCAGCAGACAGGTCTAGAAGGACAAGAGCAGAGGAGAGAGAGTTAGCTTTAGCAGTGCGGAGAGCCTCCGTGACACAGAGAAGAGCAGTCTCAGTTGAATGACCAGTCCTGAAACCTGACTGGTTTGGATCAAGAAGGTCATTCTGAGAGAGATAGCAAGAGAGTTGGCTAAAGACGGCACGCTCAATAGTTTTGTAAAGAAAAGAAAGAAGGGATACTGGTCTGTAGTTGTTGACATCAGTGGGGTCGAGTGTTGGTTTTTTGAGAAGGGGTGCAACTCTCGCTCTCTTTTTTTTTTTTACTCTAGTCTTCTCTGGGATGAGTGCACACAGAAACAAGCAGCGCCATGTTAAGTGATGCTGTTTTTAGACTGCAGGACCCTAGTCCCCCAAAAATCATATTAGTCTCTAGTTCTCTACGGGGATCCAGTATTTTGGGTTCAATAGATAGGTCTATCACCTTTTTATGTCTGGCTGGTGAACGTAGCATGTAGCTGCTCTAGTGTGATGACTGATGTCTGAGTGATTTTGCGTGATATTATGTAAACTATGGCGTGCTCTTGGAAGGTGGGTGCACTTAGGTCACATGGGCTAGCTATGGGGTAGAGGATGAGATTACCTTGCCTCTTTGTTATTGCCAGCTTTGCCCCCACCCCTTGGCACCCCTTGGCCTGGAATGAGCAGGGTTGGGAATGGTTTATCCCAAATGAGACTCCATGCATGCCCCCCATTCTGCTGCTCTCGCACTTCAGGTGACGTTATGGCCCCTGGGTCGTGAGCCCCCCCATTTAGAGCCCCCCTCCTCTCCCTCTCTGTTAGGGACAGTCAGGACCTTGCTGTCACCCCCGCCCCCCCTCCCCCATGAAGTCACTGGGCTGGTGTAGCTGTGTTCTGTGGGTAAGTGGGCATGACCAGCTGGCTCCTGGGGGGGGTTATTTTGGACCGCTGTAGCCGCAGCAGCAGGTTGCATATTGTATGTTGAAATTGTTATGAGCGGAACAAACCAGCTCTGGTTCTAAACACGTGTGCATGATTTATCCACCCCATGGACTCAACACATGAAATGCATACCAAACACACGCTGCCTGACACACATACAATAAACAGCTTCACATGCTCACAAACATCATGCTTCCAGATTTCCGTAGGCACTAGGCCTATTTTAAGAGGCTTTGAAGTGGTAATGAACCTGGGAATAATCAGCATTTCTCAGGTGTAAACATTTCCCCGGCCGGCGTGACAAACTCTTGAAATCGATTATGAATGCTCTCGTGTGAGGGGCGATATGGAAACCCAAAGGCCATACTAATGGATTATGTATGTGTGTACTGTCTGTTTACATGTAGGCTAGCTGTGTGTGGTAAACAAGTGTTTATCAAGACGCATGTCACCTATGCTGTGACAGATATGAAAAATAACATTTGTTCCATTTTAAATTTAGTTTACTCTTGTCAGACAGTTTGATGTTAGGCATTATTCATTTTGAGCTAGGCCTACTTTAGATTTAAAAAGCAGTTTCACGTTCACAGCTTTGTGTTGGCAGTCCACAGACACACCCGCACACTGATTATCAGAGCTGACTATTTTGACAATCTCGTTTGTCTTTCAGACAAGTGTGTGTCAAATCTAATCTAATTTTATTGGCCACATGCGCAGAATACAACAGGTGCAGACATTACAGTGAAATGCTTACTTACAGCCCTTAACCAACAGTGCATTTATTTTTAATAAAAAAAGTTAAATAAAACAACAAAAAAGTGTTGAGAAAAAAAAGAGCAGAAGTAAAATAAAATAACAGTAGGGAGGCTATATATACAGGGGGGTACCGGTGCAGAGTCAATGTGCGGGGGCACCGGCTAGTTGAGGTAGTTGAAGTAATATGTACATGTGGGTAGAGTTAGTGACTATGCATAAATAATTAACAGAGTAGCAGCAGCGTAAAAAGATGGGGTGGGGGGTGGGGGTGGGGGGCAGTGCAAATAGTCTGGGTAGCCATGATTAGCTGTTCAGGAGTCTTATGGCTTGTGGGTAGAAGCTGTTGAGAAGTCTTTAGGACCTAGACTTGGCACTCCGGTACCGCTTGCCGTGCGGTAGCAGAGAGAACAGTCTATGACTAGGGTGGTTGGAGTCTTTGACAATTTTGAGTGCCTTCCTCTGACACCGCCTGGTATAGAGGTCCTGGATGGCAGGAAGCTTGGCCCCAGTGATGTACTGGGCTGTACGCACTACCCTCTGTAGTGCCTTGCGGTCGGAGGCCAAGCAGTTGCCATACCAGGCGGTGATGCAACCAGTCAGGATGCTCTCGATGGTGCAGCTGTAGAAGTTTTTGAGGATCTGAGGACCCATGCCAAATCTTTTCAGTCTCCTGAGGGGGAATAGGCTTTGTCATGCCCCCTTCACGTGTGTGTGTGTGTGTGTGTGTGTGTGTGTGTGTGTGTGTGTGTGTGTGTGTGTGTGTGTGTGTGTATGTGTATGTATCTCTGTATATGTAGTAGCTCATGAGATTGGAGGCTCAGTTCAAGAGGGGCTTGTATGGTTCAGTGGAGAGAGGGGTCGGAGCAAATGAGACCCCAATGCCAGAGAGATGTGCTCTGTGCATATCATGTTCCTATCCTCCCACTGTATGTTTAACATCCTCACCTATTGAATCAGCTCTCTCTGCTGACTAGCAGCAGTGCTTCTCAGTGATTAGTGGGATATTTCAATGCCTCCTCCAATGGAGGAGCTGTTGCATTTAAAGCCCTCAAATGCACTATCCTTTTAATCACTTACCAACCAAGTACCATATAGGCCTTAGGGCTGGGCAATATGGCCAAAATGTCATATCACTATATTTTTCACATTTTTGATGATATTTGATATTTTTGAATTATAAAAGTTATACATTTTCTTTGAGTTGTGCATGACCCTAGGGTGGCAACACGTAAATTATAAGTGATTTCAATGGGCTTTCTCCATTCTGATTGTTTTATGCTGTTCAATCAAACTTCAACCAAAGGTGTATCTCATTTGAGATAATTTCCACACTGCCACGTAGGGCTGCATGATATGGGCAAAAAAATGGAGGCCTTATTTTTTTACCAAATATTGCAAATGCGATTTGACTTGCAATTTAGATAATAACTCTTGGGTGAACTGTTGGAATCATGGAAATAGAAGGATTATTCCAATTCTAAAGTTAGAATGTAATAGTGGGAACTTTGAATACAGTTTGACATGACAATGAATGAAAAAGCCGGGGAGGCGTTCATAGAATTAAGAATTAGAATACTAATAGGATCTCTTTGGAGGCGTTATTGTTACATGGTAGGAACCAAAGTTTTGGTCAGTGTTTCCCAGGGGAGTGGGACCCTATATTCTTTGGCTATATTAAATGTTTTCTCTTACTTCATGTAGCTAACATATTAATGCTTTGCCTATTCCTCTCTGATTTAGAAGATATTGTTGCACAAACAACATGCTGATTTAGGCCTACATTAGCACTGGTATCAGGCTGTATTAGCTAGCTACGTTTGCTCTGACTCAGTAAAATTATTAGCTAGCTAGCTAGCCAGCTAACTAGCGATTAGCATAAGTGGCTAACACGCCTACTTTAGCCACCAGTTGCTAAGAAAAGATAAACTAGCTGTTGCTAGCTAATTTGTCCTGGGATATAAACATTTGGTTGTTATTTTACCTGAAATGCACAAGGTCCACAGATAAAAGGGTAAATCGAGTTTGTTTCTAGTAATCTCTCCTCCTTCAGGCTTCTTTTTCTTCTTTGGACTTTATATGGAGGTTGGCAACCAACTTTAAGGTGTATTACCACCACCGACTGGAGTGTGGACCTCAGTTCATCTTTCAATCACCCATGTGGGTATATGCTCCTAAACACCAATGAGGAGATGGGAGAGGCGGGACTTGCAGCGCGTCAAGCTTCACAAATAGAACCAAGTTCTATTTTAGCGCCTGGCTACACAGACGCTCGTTGATGCGCGCGAGCAGTGTGGTGTAATGATTGAGTAGCGTATGTGTACATTTATTTTGCGACGCGAGCGGTGTGGTCAGCATGTATGCCAACAGAGCGCTGGTTCATCCTGTGGTATTTTTGCATCGGTTATGGCGATAGTGTAACGTCCATTTTTATAATTTACTCCGCTACTTGAGTCATCTCTCTCCGCTCTCTCTCTCTCTCTCTCCATGCTGCTTACCACACAAGACCTAGCCCCGCCCCCTGTCACTCAAGGAGTGCATTTGTTGTTGCTCGTTACTTGCGTTCAGTATGCATGGTCAATGCAGCACATGCAACAATGTTGATGACAACGATGCTGTTTCCACTTTGCGTCTTAATATAAATCCACAAGCGTTCTACAATTACACTTAGTTTGTTTCTTACATCTGCAAACAGCTAGTTAGTCTTTTCTTAGCAAGTTGTCACTAAATCGTGTTAGCCACTAATGCTAATCGCTACTTAGCTGGCTTAGTGTACTGAGTCAGCTAAGTAGTTCCCTAGGTCCCCTAGAAAACACTGACCAACACTTTGGTTCCTACCCTGTAACAATAACTCCTCCCTGGCATTATAATAATTATAATATAATCATTCCATTTCCATTATTCCAACAGTTCACCCAAGTGTTTTTATCTAAATCGCAAGTCAAATCGCAATTGCACATAAAAGAAGGCCTAGATTTATTGCCAATATCGTGCAATAGGGTGGCAGTGTGGAAATCATCTCAAATGAGTGCAAGAAGTGCAGAAATGGATGAAAATGCAGAAAAAGGTTTTTAGTTGAAGTTTAATTGAACAGTATAAAACAATCAAAATGGAGAAAGACCCAAATCACTTACAATGTATGTGTTGCCACCTTAGGGTCTTGCCCTACTCATAAAGCAAATATATAATTTTTATTATTCCAAAACATAAAATACCGTCATACTGTCAGAAATTAGAAAAAGACTGTGATATGATATTTTGGCCATATCGCCCAGCCCTATATGGAGGTACAGGTAGGTCAAAAATAGCCTCCTCTCCCAGTCACAATACCTCATGTGGGGCTGAAATAGACACTGTGGTGGGGGCTGGCTGGGTGCTGGAGAGTTGAGAGACCTGTCTGTCCTCATCGGGGGGCCATAGGAAACAGTGGAGAATGGTGTGAAACATCACTAATAAGGGCTAAGAGGCTTTGTATTGGAGGAAGCAGAGTGATGAGCTCTTATTAAGTTTGGTTGGATTCTGGTCACATCGAGTGTAATTACAGTTGGGGAAAGTATTTAGTCAGCCACCAATTGTGCAAGTTCTCCCACTTAAAAAGATGAGAGAGGCCTGTAATTTTCATCATAGGTACACGTCAACTATGACAGACAAATTGAGAAAAAAAAATCCAAAAAATCACATTGTAGGATTTTTAATGAATTTATTTGCAAATTATGGTGGAAAATAAGTATTTGGTCACCTACAAACAAGCAAGATTTCTGGCTCTCACAGACCTGTAACTTCTTCTTTAAGAGGCTCCTCTGTCCTCCACTCGTTACCTGTATTAATGGCACCTGTTTGAACTTGTTATCAGTATAAAAGACACCTGTCCACAACTTCAAACAGTCACACTCCAAACTCCACTATGGCCAAGACCAAAGAGCTGTCAAAGGACACCAGAAACAAAATTGTAGACCTGCACCAGGCTGGGAAGACTGAATCTGCAATAGGTAAGCAGCTTGGTTTGAAGAAATCAACTGTGGGAGCAATTATTAGGAAATGGAAGACATACAAGACCACTGATAATCTCCCTCGATCTGGGGCTCCACGCAAGATCTCACCACGTGGGGTCAAAATGATCTCAAGAACGGTGAGCAAAAATCCCAGAACCACACGGGGGGACCTAGTGAATGACCTGCAGAGAGCTGGGACCAAAGTAACAAAGCCTACCATCAGTAACACACTACGCCGCCAGGGACTCAAATCCTGCAGTGCAAGACGTGTCCCCCTGCTTAAGCCAGTACATGTCCAGGCCCGTCTGAAGTTTGCTAGAGTGCATTTGGATGATCCAGAAGAGGATTTGGAGAATGTCATATGGTCAGATGAAACCAAAATAGAACATTTTGGTAAAAACTCAACTCGTCGTGTTTGGAGGACAAAGAATGCTGAGTTGCATCCAAAGAACACCATACCTACTGTTAAGCATGGGGGTGGAAACATCATGCTTTGGGGCTGTTTTTCTGCAAAGGGACCAGGACGACTGATCCGTGTAAAGGAAAGAATGAATGGGGCCATGTATCGTGAGATTTTGAGTGAAAACCTCCTTCCATCAGCAAGGGCATTGAAGATGAAATGTGGCTGGGTCTTTCAGCATGACAATGATCCCAAACACACCGCCCGGGCAACGAAGGAGTGGCTTCGTAAGAAGCATTTCAAGGTCCTGGAGTGGCCTAGCCAGTCTCCAGATCTCAACCCCATAGAAAATCTTTGGAGGGAGTTGAAAGTCCGTGTTGCCCAGCGACAGCCCCAAAACATCACTGCTCTAGAGGAGATCTGCATGGAGGAATGGGCCAAAATACCAGCAACAGTGTGTGAAAACCTTGTGAACACTTACAGAAAACGTTTGACCTGTGTCATTGCCAACAAAGGGTATATAACAAAGTATTGAGAAACTTTTGTTGTTGACCAAATACTTATTTTCCACCATAATTTGCAAATAAATTCATTAAAAATCCTACAATGTGATTTTCTGGAAAACAAATTCTCATTTTGTCTGTCATTGTTGACGTGTACCTATGATGAAAATTACAGGCCTCTCTCATCTTTTTAAGTGGGAGAACTTGCACAATTGGTGGCTGACTAAATACTTTTTTCCCCCACTGTATTAGACAAGGCCTATTATGTGTTGTGGTTCTGCCCTGCTTTTCAGGGCTGAGCGTCTAGCACTGATTAAAAAAAACACTGTTTTTAATTGGACTTTGGGATCAAAAGGTTGTCACTATGAAGTGTGAACATTTGTGTTAGACTGTTGCAACAAGGCGTGAATAATTAATACATGTTGAAAGGGTGTAAACGGTCCTCTAGTCTAGTGCTCTGATGTGTTGCCACAATCATGACTATTAGGCTATTTAATTTAATTGGGCTCATAGTATTGCTTTATTTATGGCGTTTCAGTGTAACCCTAGCATGTCACAGACATCTTGGTGATAAATGTATTTTCCAAAGCAACCTTAGTAAAACGTAAAGATGTTCCGCTGCATTATAGTTCAGGGCCCACAAACATTTTTGAGGAACAGAATCAGAACCGGGAACAAAAGTGATCTATACTGTTCCGTAACAGAACCTGTATTTTCTTAAAGCATGGGAACCGGTTAATAACTTTATTTTACGTTCCGGGCATTTTTTTCAGTCCCACAAAAAATGCAACAAAGCGCCTATGCAAAGCCTTAACTCTATCACTCAGAAACTTTTTCCAGTGTTTGCCTGCCAACTGAAAATCTTTGCCAGTGTGTGTGTGTGCGTGTGTAGGCTACCTGCCCCTCCCCCTCCGAAGCATAGGCTACTGTAGCCTACTAACGTTACAAGCGTGATTCAGAAATTAGGGAGAGTTTTTAATTACAGAAGAATGGATTAACTTTTTCAATGCTAGTTAAGGATACTATAGTTACCATGTTTCACATTGGATTTATTAACTACAAAAAGGTAAGACGTGTTTTTAATTCTGGTGCCACTCTGCACACACAAGCTTGTTAGCTAGCTAGCTAGCTACGTCTAGTCCAACGTTAAGCCAACTCTCTGAAGTTCAAAGACATTCAAAGTTCCTCCATAGAACCGATCCGCCGTAGGTACAATTCTGTGGGCCTAATTCAGATAATACATGTCATAACAAGATACCCAGCGCTTCAAGCCTCCCCACCCTCTCTTGCTTTCTCCCCACCCGCCAAAAACCAGATCATATCTCACGCCCTACTCTTGTCTGTCCATCTCGCATGTAAACAACTATAGCTTGCACACTCCTAAGCTGCTCTATCCGCATTGATTGGTGAAGTAATTAAATGTCGAGCTAAATGTAATAATGTTTTCTTTCAGAGGTTTAAAAAGGAACAGAAAGGAATTATATAAACCGGTACTTTTTGGGGGGTTCGAAACAGATCTGAACTTGGAATAGTGGAACGGAACGAAAGTTCAGAACGAAACAATTGGAATATAATTACCATTCCAACCCCTGCATAGACCTATATATTTCAGTTATATTAAAAATCAATTTCATGTTCATTCAATTGAGTTAAATTTAGCTATTTGTATGCTACTGAATAGGGAATAGTTACAGGGGAAAGGAGCTGGTATGAATGAGCCAATTGGAAGCTGGGAATGATTAGGTGGCCATTATGGTATGAGGGCCAGATTTAGCCAGGTCACAATTTGACTCAATATACTGTATTTAATGATGTGTAACGTGTGCAATCATGTGCCAAATCTTGATTTAGTGCATTATTATAGGGTAAGCATTACAATTAGCCGCCTCAACATTTGTAGCCATAGGTGGTAATATCTCTCTAGGAGCTGAATTGGTAAGGTAAGATTTGAAAGGGAGAACGCTGATCCGAGAGCAGCACTGCCTTTCTTTCGATCCTATCAGTGTTGACACATGCCTCAATGACACACTTAACAAACGTTCTCTCTGCGTGGTCATTGTAGGAAAGTTGCATCGTTAAAACACTCGTAAGCCTAAATTCAATCGCTATCTGGAAACCGGGCCCAGCTCGTTAATCAGAAGTAAAACAGGTAATCTGCGAGATAAGCCATATCTTGATTGCATCTCATCTCATACCATCTTCTTGATTTGTTTGTCAGAAGTAGCCTAGGCCTACTGTAGTAATTCCTTCTCCCTTTTATTATTCTAGGACTTAACTGTCCTACAACAGTTTTTCTATTAACTTTCATCTTCTGGCAGATGAAAGTGTAGGGTGCCTTCTTTCGGATGGGATGTTAAACAGGTGTGCTGACTCTCTGTGGTCACTAAAGAGCCCATGGCACTTATCGTAAGAGAAGGGGTGTTAACCCCGGTGTCCTGGGAAAATTCCCAATCTGGCCTTCATACCATCATGGCCACCTTATCATCCCCAGCTTCCAATTGGCTCATTCATCCCCCCTCCTTTCCCCTGTAGCTATATCCCAGGTCGTTGCTGTAAATGAGAATGTGTCTCAGTCAACTTACCTGGTAGAACCTCCTCTCTTCCACTGCATCAGATATCTGTATATAATGACAAGAGGCTCATGTCTCCACCCTAACAATTAGGGCCGGGACGATACCAGTATCGTGATACTCATTAGTGTCGTGCCAAGGAAACAAAACACAAAGCAAATTTTACTTCTTTAGGAAAACAGCCCAAATGTTGGAAACAAACATCATTATGTTGTCATCCAGAGTCACATTTATTTATTTTACAAGCTATAGCACACAATCTTACATACAGCAGGTTTTTAAAGGACCAAAGAGTTTAGTCTGCTTCATGTTCAAATTTTTGCCATGGAAAAAATATTGTGATACTGGTATCATCACAGCCCTACTAATAATTAGAGTCGTTGTCCCAAAGGCGGGAAGGCAGGCGACAAGCTTTGGTCCAAAATAAGCCCATTGAAACGCATTGGGCTTGTTTTGGACAGATTTTTGGCGAGAGTGAAACCTCTCGCTTCACCTTTTCCTCTCTGACTGCACTGCCAGCCAGGCAGAAACTCCCCTGTTCCACTGCACTGCCAGCCAGCCAGAATCTTCCCTGTTCCACTGCACTGCCAGCCAGGCAGAACCTCCCTTGTTTAAAGCCGATTTATGGTCAATCCAAATGATGTATTGGCTGTACAGCATTTACTGCGATGCAGCCTCTGCAGAAGTGAGCGCATTCATACTTCTTGCACTTCGCAGAGCTGTTGTGAAGGAAGTTGTCAAGGAAGTGAGTTTGTGTTTATACAGGACATGCCGGCCCTACCTACCGTAAACCAATCATGTCAATGCAGAGCTATACAGAGCCCTCCGCATTGTTAAAACATTTGGGAGGCACACAGCGATGAGGTACGGATATTGATTTGGCCTCCGCAAGCCTCCGTAGGCTCCGCAATTGCGTCACACCCTCCGTACGGAGCCTCCGGACCGCATTGCCTGATCAAGCATAAATAGGCTTTTATCTGCACTGCCAGCCAGGCAGAACCTCCCCTGTTCCACTTCACTGCCAGCCAGCCAGCCAGGCAGAACCTCCCCGGTTCCACTGCACTGCCAGCCAGCCAGCCAGCCAGGCAGAACCTCCACTGGACTGCCAGCCAGCTAGGCCAGACAGAGTGCAGCTTGCATTATTAAAGCCCCAACATGATCGGTGTAACTCCCACAGTTCAAAGCCAGATGCTGAGCACTGCTGACTGTGCTGGTTAAAGGTAGACTTAGCAATGCATGAAGTAAGCTGAAATATCGGGTCGAATTCAGCAACAACTATGACCATTGGAGCATGAGGCTAACTCCACTGTTTTGGTCCTGTAGTTATCACGTTGTAGCAGCGTGAAGCGCACCCATGCACATGTGCAGATACTCTGTGTGCCTGTGTGAGATCAAAGTGTTGCATCGCGCTCATCTGAATATCTGCGTTGCTGCTCACACCAACATATCGCTGAGTCTCAGTTTAATATTATATTATTTTAAAGCCCATATTTGGACTGATGTCTGCAACTCCCAGTTCAAAGTCAGTTGCTGAGCATTGCTGACAGTGCTGGTTAATATTATATTATTTCAAAGTCCATCTAGGGACTGATGCTGCAAAATTGGGCAAGCTTAAAGGACCGTCTTTTGATGAAAACACGGACATGCTTGTGCACTAAAAAGTATTGCTCAAATCCAACAGAATATAACATTGCGTAAATGACACAATTTCATGTGTACAACATCTGCATCACTATACTGGGAGCTTTGCTGTTTTTAAAAGGACGTTATTGTGTGTTTTTGGAGCTTTGTTCATGTTTTCTGCATGCCCACATTCTGCCGAATGAGCCTGAGGAGGTCTGTCGCTGTCACGCCCTGGCTCTGGGACTCTGTTATGTTGAGCCAGGGTGTGTAGTTTCTATGTATTTGTGTTCTAGGTTCTTTATCTAGCTCATGTGTTTCTGTGTTGGCCGGGGTGGTTCTCAATCAGAGGCAACGAGTGTCAGCTGTTGCTTGTTGTCTCTGATTAGGAACCATACTTAGGCAGCCTGTTTTCCACAGTGTTTTGTGGGATCTTGTTCCGTGTTGGTTTTGTGTTGTAAACCAAGGACTTCACATATCGTTTTGTTGTTTTGTTCGTGTGTGGTACATCAAATTAAAGTATGTTCGCATATCACGCTGCGCCTTGGTCCACTGTGTTTGACGATCGTGACAGAAGATCCCACCAATACTGGACCAAGCAGCGTGTCCAGGAGTACACGCCGGAGGTAACTTTAGCGGATGTCCACCTCGACTGGGTCAAGCAGCGTGAGGAGGAGATAGGTTGGACTTGGGAGCAGAGGATGGAGAGTCTGGCGAGAGCCATGGAGGCCATATCCACGGGGGAGAGACAAGCCCAATAAATGTTTAGGGGGGGGCTCACACCGTGGACGACGGGGCTGCTGGAGGCAGATAAGGGGCGAGTTAGTGGACGAGGAGAGAAGGCCACCGGGTTACGGGAGCCATTGGCGAGTAGAGGGAAGGAAAATGTAGAGGCACGGCGAGAGGTACTGAGGTGTGTTGCCAGTCCGGTCCGGCCCGTTCCTGATCCCCGGGTAAGGCCAGTGGTGTGTGTTCCCAGTGCGGTCCGGCCTGTTCCTGTCCCTCGCACCAAGCCTGTGATGCGCGTCGCCAGCCCGGTCCGGCCTGTTCCTGCCTCTCGCACCAAGCCGACGGTGCGCGTCGCCAGCCCGGCCCGGCCTGTTCCTGCTCCCCGCACCAAGCCAATGGTGCACGTCGCCAGCCCGGCCCGGCCTGTTCCTGCTCCCCGCACCAAGCCAATGGTGCGCGTCGCCAGCCCGGCCCGGCCTGTTCCTGCTCCCCGCACCAAGCCAATGGTGCGCGTCGCCAGCCCGGTCCGGCCTGTTCCTGCTCCCCGCACCAAGCCAATGGTGCGCGTCGCCAGCCCGGCCTGTTCCTGCTCCCCGCACCAAGCCAGGGGTGCGCGTCGCCAGCCCGGCCCGGCCTGTTCCTGCTCCCCGCACCAAGCCTGTGGTGCGCATCGTCAGCCCGGTCCGGCCCGTGCCTGGGTCACCGGTGCCTGGTCAGGTACCGGTCAGCTGCTCCATATCGGAGCCTAAGCAATCCGCTCCACCGATGTCCAGCTCCAGCCAGCGGGGCCAGACCGGACCAGGGGCGCTACGGGGGGATTGTTGGAGGGTGGTGGTCAAGCCCGGAGCCGGAACCGCCTCCAAGGAGGAATGCCCACCCGGCCCTCCCCTGTTCGGTTTATGTTTGGCGTGGTCGCAGTCCGCGCCTTTGGGGGGGGGGGTACTGTCACGCCCTGGCTCTGGGACTCTGTTATGTTGAGCCAGGGTGTGTAGTTTCTATGTATTTGTGTTCTAGGTTCTTTATCTAGCTCATGTGTTTCTGTGTTGGCCGGGGTGGTTCTCAATCAGAGGCAACGAGTGTCAGCTGTTGCTTGTTGTCTCTGATTGGGAACCATACTTAGGCAGCCTGTTTTCCACAGTGTTTTGTGGGATCTTGTTCCGTGTTGGTTTTGTGTTGTAAACCAAGGACTTCACGTATCGTTTTGTTCGTGTGTGGTACATCAAATAAAAGTATGTTCGCATATCACGCTGCGCCTTGGTCCACTGTGTTTGACGATCGTGACAGTCGCTGGTAGGGTAAGTTTCTCAAAACCAAGTGAAATCACATAAAAAGTGTCTGTACACTTCTATAGCATGCCATTTACATCCCAAAATAGAGATTGTCCTTTAAGCATGGTGGTGCAATGCCCTGACTGTTGATAGGCCTAATCCAATGTGTCAATGTTTGAAACTGTCCCTTAACAAATAAACTTTATTATTAAATTGCCCCATTTCTGGGACACCATTTTGCGTCCTTGCATCAGTACATTTATTACAAAATAATACATCTACTTACTTACTGTAGCCAAACTGTGGTTTATGTTACCTTATGCTAGTACTGTACCAGTACAGGTCCATGAGGAATAATTAAAGCAGATATGTGACCCACCACCTGGATTCGGTCCTATGTAGCAAAATTAGAAATTGTGTTTTTTACATTGTATAAAAGTAGAGACTCAGAGCTAGAAAATGGTATCCCATACACTGCAGTTGAGGAACAATGGGAAAGTAATTCTGCTTTGAAAGTTGATAAACTTGTAACCCCACTTTTGAGAAAATGGGCCTTGAATGTTTTGGTACACCTACCGGAGAGCTCTTCTTTGTTTACACCCATTAAGCATCGTTCACATCCTCTTAAGCTTTAGCCCCATCCATCTCTTTAAGGATTCACATGTGAGGCCATGTGCTAAACAGAATGAGTAGTGTAGTAAACAACCAAAGATTTCAAGACTAAAAGTGGTAAAAGTAGTAGCCTACAATAAGGAAAAACTCCAGGTAAAAATACACTTTATCTAGTCCTTGGCCTATATCCTAATCTGACTTTGGTGCAGGTCATGTTGTTCTTCATATTACCGTCTCTGGTAAACACACACTATATCAAATTAAAATCTAAGTTTATTTGTCACATGCACAGGATACAGAAAGTGTAAACAGTACAGTGAAATGGTTACTTGAATAGTAGCAATATCAAAAACGGAAAGTGTCCAGATAAAAATATTTTATAATTATTCGATGACACTTACCCAGACACACTTGTCCAAATTGTTGGGTCATGTGAAAGAAATGCTATAACCGGCCCCCAGTCACATCTAGCTAAGTGGATGGGTCACTATTGTCTAGACATGTACACATGTTCATGAAATACAATATATTGCCATAATCACCCCCAGACACACCTGGCTAACTTGATGGGTCATGTAATCATCTGGCGAAGTGGACTCTTTTGTTTAGACATGTAGCTAGATAGCTAGCTAGCTAAACAATGAACTGGCATAATCCCAACTCATGCTACTACCAATACAAACAGATTGTCATAGCTGTAGTATGAATCTGCAGGTAGCTAAAGCTAACCAACTAGGTTCAATGTTAGCTAGCTAGCTAACAGTAGGCTATAACTAGCAATGAAAACAACTTTCTGACAAAATTAGAAACGTATAATATCTGAAAATGTAGCTAGACTCTTACCCGTATACGTGGATGAATGCTTCATGGCAGACTGGAACCATTTAAATCCAGCATTGTGTCAAGTCACTCCGTGGCGTGTGCAAAAAGTAGCCCATCGCAACTTTTTCCAACTGATCTGTCGATAGTGCCTGTTAAATTCAGGGCATCAATGTTGTTGAGAAAAGTAGCAAAACTTTTGCAGTTCTCGATGGCTAACGTTATATCTTTCAAAAAAGCTGTGGTAGAAAGGATTATCAACACATACTGAGCAGCTCACGTTATAGACAGAAGCATGCTACATGGCAGACCAATCCAAACTCATCTCCCAGCATGTCCAGCCCAACCATTATCTCAGCCAATCGTGGCTAGTGGGAAGGTACCAGTCTTTTTCCGTGGCTAAACCAACTAGGCTCGTAATTTAACCATTTTATTTGTATTTACAGATGGAATACAAGTTTGTTATTAAGGCACATGATAGTTCACATGTTCCAGAAGGCATTTCTGCCAAAAAATACATTTTGATTTAAAAAAAAATGTTTATGTTCAAATGCCTCTCCTGTGAAGTAGTGATGCACGACATACGCCTAGTTTCCTGAAACAAGTCACATATATGCCTAACCCCCTTGTGTATGGGTATTCAAATCTTACCCTACAAGTTCCGGAGCTTGCTGGGTTTCTGTTCTACCTGATAATTAATTAATTAATTACTCCCACCTGGTGTTTGGGCTCTAAATCAGTCCCTGATTAGAGGGGATTTTTTTAAATAAGCAGTAGAACTGGCTTCGAGGTCCAGATTTGAATTTGAGGGCCCAAGTGTATCTCACAACAAAGACTCGCTGGAACTTCCTTGTGATAAAGTACCATTACCTTTCCTCCAGAGGATGGAAAAATATGAATCTAGCCTCGTATGACCATCCTGATCTCACGAGCGTACAGTATTCTGTTTTGCTACACGGATTCTGTTAAATGAAGTGAAACGAGAGTGCAGTGTTCAGGATGGTAGATCAGGCTAACATTTCCTAGCTCAGGTGCAGGAATACTGTCAAATAGGCTTATTCCCGAAGACAATACATGATAATAGGCTGATATTCCTGAATCCTGAAACCAATTTAAACACACTGAAATGCTCTGTGTGTCAAAGCAGCTTGTTCTCTGCAAAGGCACCAAAAGCTGTTGTTCCCCATGAATATCAGACAGACATCCATCTTGTTGGTGATTTCGGTGGTAAACCTAGACTAATGGCTGGATGTGCTGTGATGCCAGTCTGGCGGTCTTATAATGTCATCTTTATACGCCTCTGGCTCTGTCATGGTTTCAACTATCAGTTTATTGGTCCATTAAAGGCCTAACATCTCTTTCCATCTCTCTCTCTTAGGGTCTAGACGAGGAGGCCATCATCGACCTTGGGAAGACCAGCTCAACCACCCACACCAACTATGAGACGGAAGACCTGGAAAGTAAGTCTAGTCTAGGCTTCTTTCTTAGTCCATACAGCCCTACCAACTTACTGTACCTTTGTGTATGTCTATGCCTGTGTGTTCATTCCTGTGTGCAATGTGTTGGAGAAATGGTGTGCCAGTTGAATTGGCTCAATTCAGTCAATTGCATCGAATTTAAATGGAATTGAACCCAACCCTGGTTCCAGTCAGCCTGTGTGTATGTACCAGTTTGTGTACCTGCCTTTGTTACTGTTGTGTCTAGATGCCTGTTTTTCTGTCTCTGTGTGGATGATTCCTGTCCACATTATAGGCCTAGATACGTGCTGTGAATAGAAAGAACAGGTGTTGCTGGTTTTGTTTCTCAGGGGGCCTTGGCAGATTAAAGCCAGCCCCAGCCTGGCTCTCCTCACCTGCAGCTTTCCAGAAGGGTACGTTCATTAGCCAGGCAGAAATGAGCCCACAGACATATGGCAAATGTAATTGTCATGTACAGCTTTATTCAAGTCCAGCTGGATACTCTGTGGTGCTGGTTGGAATATCCGGCTATATAAAAATAAAACACACAAAAACCCCCACGATTTTCCCAAATTAGTGTAGAGCTTTGGTTTCAATTTCAAAAGAAGGACTTCCAATGGCATGATATTGAAGCTTGCAGTAAAGTACACTGTATGGTTGACCAAGAGAGTACTAAATGGTCAGTCTATGGTCATACAAATCAGTATGATGAGTCACTTTTTATTAGAGGTCAATGTGTGTGTCATGAAAATGACTACTTTCAATTTATGTAGAAAAATCTAAATAAACAAAAACTGAGATACAAGGTTTTTCCAGGAAGCGGGCGATATTTGAGTTATATTTATTTTAGAAACAGAGCTGGCAGTGAGCCAGTTGTTATTGAAACCAATCCTCTGTGGTCCTTCTCCTGGGAACAAGGCAGAGAGAGGAGAGGGTTTTAAAGGAAGTGTCATTGCGGCTCACGTCTGGAGAACGCAGCTAGCAAATAACATCATTACCACATGTACTGTATTCCCCAGGCCTGTGCCTGTCCTCTCTCTCTCTCTCTCTCTCTCTCTCTCTCTCTCCATTATCCCTCTCCTTTCCCCTGTTTTGTTTCTTGTATTTTTGTCTCTCTTTATCCCTCTCAAACACTATATCCCTCTCACCTTCTACTCTATCTCTATCGCCTTCATCTCTTTTTCTTTGTATATCCATCTGTTAGACTCATGTCTTTCTCTTGTCTTTTCCTTTCCCTTCTCCCCTTCTCTTACGTCTTGTTTTAATTATTCCCAGAGTCTATTGGCACAGAAAACTAGGACATTTGCATTTCAGAGCAAGAAACCAACAAACAATGAAAATAAACACATTTGAAAAAAGTGATGGTATCTTTTCCTGTCTAAGTAGGTTATTCACAGGAAATGGAACCTGGTCATCTGTAAATCTCTCTCTGGTTTGGTGTGATGTGTCTCAGGCCACAGGGCGGTCTACGTCGGGGTCCATGTGCCGCTGGGCCGGGAGAACAAACGCAGGCACCACCGCAGAGGCCACAAACACCACCACAAGAGGCGGGAGCGGGAGGAGGACCACGAGGAGGAGGACCCCACTTATGGTAACTAACTTCTACCTTAAAGTCCAGTAAAAAGCACGAGCTGACTGTTAGAAATGTTAGTAGAGGTGCTGACTAAAGGAATAGTCAACTTTGTAAAAACAGAAAAAAATTGCTGACAACAATTTAATAGGTTAACAATTTTCACCCATTAAATTGTTGGGAGCATACAGTGCCTTCGGAAAGTATTCAGACCCCTTGGCTTTTTCCACAATTTGTTACGTTACAGCCTTATTCTAAAGTGGATTTAAAAAAATCATAATAATCAGCACTCTACACACAATACATGTTTTTAGAAAATGTTGCACATTTATTACAAATAAAAATCTGAAATACCTTATATACATAAGTATTCAGACCTTTTGCTATGATACATGAAATTGAGCTCAGGTGCATCCTGTTTCCATTGATCAACCTTGAGATGTTTCTACAACTTGATAGGAGTCCATCTCTCGTAAATTCAATTGATTGGACATGATTTGGAAAGGCACACATCTGTCTATATAAGGTCCCACAGTTGACAGTGCATGTCAGAGCAAAAACCAAGCCATGAGGTCGAAATAATTGTCTGTAGAGCTCCGAGACAGGATTGTGTCGAGGCACAGATCTGGGGAATGGTACCAAAAAAGTTCTGCAGCATTGAAGGTCCCCAAGAACACAGTGGCCTCCATTATTCTTAAATGGAAGAAGTTTGGAACCACCAAGACACTTCCTAGAGTTGGCCGCCCGGCCAAACTGAGCAATCGGGGGAGAAGGGCCATGGTCAGGGAGGTGACCAACAACCCGATGATCACTCTGACAGAGCTCTGGAGTTCCTCTGTTGAGATGGGAGAACCTTACAGAAGGACAACCATCTGTGCAGCACTCCACCAATCAGGCTTTTATGGTAGAGTGGCCAGCCGGAAGCCACTCCTCAGTAAAAGGCACATGACAGTCCGCTTGGAGTTTGCCAAAAGGCACCTAATGACTCTCAGACCATGAGAAAGAAAGATGAAGCTGAGCCGCTCCTAGATGTTTTCCACTTCACAATAACAGCATTACAGTTGACCGGGGCAGCTGTAGCAGGGCATGAATTTGACAAACTGACTTGCCATGTTGAAAGTCACTAAGCTCTTCAGTAAGGCCATTTACTGCCAATGTTTGTCTATGGTGATTGCATAGCTGTGTGCTCGATTTTATACACCTGTCAGCAACGGGTGTGACTGAAATAGCCGAATCCACTAATTTGAAGGGGTGTCCACATACTTTTGTATATATTGTGTATATGGACGCGATCCAGTTGTTCGTTCTATATGTTCCGTTGCCATGCTTGCTTGCAACGTTCTTATCCCTTGCTTGTTATCTAGCCAACTAGCTATGGCTAACACAGTCACGACCTCTGCAGCCAGAATAACAGCAAAGTAGCTGCATTTGCGTTTTTTTAAGCTGTTTTCTATTGACATTCATTTGGATACATACCGATTTTTTTTTGCCTGGCATAGCTAGAAAAGTTTGTGTTCTCGTCAGGACACTCGACACTGTTAAATACGAGGAGATCACATTGCATATCAAACGCTAGGCTAGAAGCTAGCTAAATAGTTTGTTGCTAGCAAACCTGCCAATATGACAACCGAATTCAAAAATATCAGTTGCTGAAAACAGCTGGTCAAACCAGAAACGAGGGAGGATTTGACAGCATAGCGCAACAGTAGGGACCGGAGAAATTAATGTTCATCACTTGCCATGTTAGGTCATCAGATGCTCCAAAAAAGTACTTATTTGCAAAAACAAATCAAGCTAAGTTTTTCCTTGTTGGACCTGCGTTTACAATGTATCCAATTTCGGTTTGTGTGGTTGTTGGTTTATCTTCGTAGCAACACAACATGACAAATTGAATTGTCTGACTGTCGTTCACTCTCTCGCTCTTTTAATCTATCCAATGTCCATTCCTCTTCCAATGGTGAATTTAGCTCCAGGAATTCTGACGTTATTGTTTTGCTGATTCACTCAGACTTGAGTTCTAGCTCTGTTCTTTCACATTTACCTATTTCTACTCCCACCACACCACATTTAATTATTCCACTCTTTGTAATGCAGAGGGATTCACAGCACTCCATTCAGAAGCTAAGCTTTGGCTCCTGCTCTTCCCACACTCTCCTCATCTCTATATCTCCTGTTATCTCTCCCCGCCTCCCCCATCTAGACACGCCCTCCCAGCGGGTGCAGTTCATCCTGGGTACCGAGGATGACGATGTGGAGCACGTCCCCCATGACCTGTTCACCGAGTTGGACGAGCTGTCCTTCAGGGACGGGAGCGCCACTGAGTGGAAGGAGACCGCCAGGTAGGTCACAGCCCAGCCCAGGTTCCAGCCTCCATACTCCAGGGTCCATGTGGCTTTAGAGAAGCCATGTTATCATGCCATTCTTTGTTCATTCAGGTCTTGATTCAACAGCACTTTATTGGCACTGTAGGTTTTCCCTGAAACGTTGATGAGTTTAACTTTGCATCTTTCGAATTTTGAAGTCGTCTCCTTGACTGTGGTAAAATATTCCGCTTTTTAATGGCCAAAACTGTAGGCTGGTAGACTGTCGTGGCCTTAAAATTGCCTGTGGGGGCTGGGGAATGGTGACGCATCTTGTATGTGAAGGTGTGATTAATGGGTAAGATTGACAGAGCTGCCTACAGGTCTGACTGTGAATCAGTCTATCTTAGTCATCCTTCATAGCCATGGCACCATCACCATCCCAGACAATGTAAGCCTACGCTCATGGGCTCAGACACAAATACACAGCAATCTACTGCTCTTAAAAAACTAGTTAAAAGCTTAAAAAACATAATCAAACGTTTTCCATTACCTCTCAAAAGTGAAAAGCTCAAGGCAAGGCAAAATGTCTGTTTCTTCTGCTCAAGTTGTTCTTAGTCAGCGTTTGGGAAATGGAAGTATGAGTATTGAAGCCATATAAAAAAAATTGTGTGTGGGTGTGTCTTGTGTCTGTGTGTGTGTGTGTGTGTGTGTGTGTGTGTGTGTGTTTGTAGGTGGTTGAAGTTTGAGGAGGACGTGGAGGATGGAGGGGAGCGTTGGAGTAAGCCCTACGTGGCCACCCTGTCTCTACACAGCCTGTTTGAGTTGAGGAGCTGCATCCTCAACGGCACCGTCATGCTGGACATGAGGGCCACCTGTATCGAGGAGATTGCAGGTACATTCATGTCAGAAGAAGTTTGTGTGTACACATGTGCATGCTATAGGATTAGCTAGATTTGTTTGTGCACCAGAGGTAAACAATGATAAACAAGGCAATAATAAAGTTGGTTGAATAGGGTGACATTTAATTGATCTCTCTGTGTGTGTGTGTGTGTGTGTGTGTGTGTGTGTGTGTGTGTGTGTGTGTGTTTATGCAAGCTCATTTGCAAGTGTGTGTGTACCAATGGTGCAACCTCCAAGTGAACAACAAATACAAGGCAATACAATTCGCCTGTGTGTGTGTGTGTCCAGACATGTTGATTGACAGCATGGTGGTGTCTGGCCAGCTGGAGGAGGAGCTTCGTCAGAAGGTGCGTGAGGCCATGTTGAAGAGACACCACCACCAGAACGAGAGGAAGCTCAGCAACCGCATACCGCTGGTGCGCTCAATCGCAGACATAGGCAAGAAACATTCAGACCCGTTCTTGCTTGAGAGAAACGGTGAGATCCCCTGCGCCGCGCACACTCCATTTCTTTTTCCTCATCCTCGAGGGGGTTGAAATAATCTTTATAATCCTTGGTATTCCAAAAAAGTAAAGGTGACAGCATCTGCCATTTAGCAGACACTTTTATTAAAAGTGACTTACAGGACAGTGAGCGCATACATTTTAGTATGTGTGGCCCCAGCGGGATTCGAACCCACGAACCTGGCGTTGCTAGCGCCATGGTCTTACCAACTGAGCCACACAAGACCAAATACATCATGGCTGTTCAGGAGGTGTCAAACTAATGATGTGAGTAGATGCCACAATGAGGATATAAGCCTCATAGAGACAGCTGCTACCCCCCACTGTGAAAGAGAAATCTGGGTGCGGATGGTGCGAGCATGTGTGGCTGGCCTGGCTCAGGGTTTTGCCTCTGAGAATTAACAATGGCTTCTACTCCATGTTGGAATGGTTGGGGTAATGCTCTTCTTGCAGTTCGACATGTTTTGTTTATTGAGCATGACCTCAGGTTGTGGTGTGTACTCAGAGTATGGTGTGTGACTGTTTATGTGAATGAAATAATTAGGTTGTGCTACAGTTGCAATGGTCTCTGGTCTCTGTCCTACTGTCACATTTTGTTTTATTGAATGCATTAAATGCAATATTGCCTTGGTATAAAATATGTGTGAAATGTCATATATTGCATAGCTTGCTTGCACTGTATGTATACCAAACAAGTGGACCGATATGAAATATGACTGGTTTATTTGTGGTTCTGTATTTGTAAGTACAATATACTGTACACTGACACTGTGCTAACCAACCCACAACTCTTCTCTTGCCTGCAAGCATCTCTCTACCCAAAATGCTCTCCCTTGGTATGTGTCACTGTGTGATTGGTGAGTGGACAAGCTTATTGTTCCCTGTGGACACCTCACCTCTCTCACCTTTCCCCTGCAAGAACCTCTCAACACCTCTGTTTCTCTCTAACCACACTCCTCAGAAGCTCCCACCACCTACCTTCTGCCCCCAGAGAATGTACCCCTAAAACCACCTCTCTGATTAAATCCTCCCTCATATGTTTCTCCTTTTTCCTCCCTCCTCCTTCCTCCCTTTCTTCTCTCCCTCCTCTCCCTTCTTTGTTGTTGTGTCTTCCCGCCACTCCAGGGGAGGGCCTCTCCGCCTCCCGCCACTCCCTGAAGCCGGGGGCCTCCGTCTCCAACCTGTCCCAGAGGCAAGAGTCCCGGGTCTCCGTCCTCCTCAACCTCCTCCTGCCCAACTCCTCCTCCACCTCCGCTGGGGGGCCCTCCCCCGGACCCTCGCCCCTCACCACCCCCCAGAACACGCCCCCTACTCCCCGCCGCTCCCCAAACCCTCCCCGTGCCCCTGGCCCCGCCCCGGGCGGCCAGGCCATCCCGGAGGTTGTGGTGTCACCGCCTGAGGACGACGAGTCGCCACCCACCGCCATTACGAAGGATGAGGAGGCAAATTCCGCTCGGCAACCGTCGCTGCAGACTAGAGGGCTCCAGCAGCTGCCCTTAGAAGGCAAATATCTGTGTAGCCTGCCAGTGTGAGTCACGGCTTGAACAGAGAACACTAGCACCAGCATGCTGGCTGTGCCCTCCTTCTCTACCCTACCACAAATCCATTATCAACCCCAGCATGTTAACTTTTTATACCCCTCCTCTATTGACTCAACAAGACCTCACACAGCTCTCTCTCTCCACCTCTGTTTTTCTCTACCTCGTTCCTTTCTTGCATACCTCTGTCTCTGTTTCTCTAGTCTAGTCTATCAAATCATCTTTCTGCACTCTCTCCCTTTCTCTCATATCTCGCTCCATTCCTAGACTATTTATTGTTCACATTCCTTTCTCTCTCTGTCTCCACCTTTCTTCATCCAGCCCTTCCACACTACCCTCACCTTGCTTGGCTTGGTCCCTCCACTTCTCTTTGCTCAGTGTGTGTGCATGGCTCTCCTCGAAAATGGAAAATGTATTTTATCATTTACCATACCATAGTTCTGCAGGGTCCGACATTAACGATGGCCCGCTGTCCCGGGTAAAAACATGTGTTGGGCCCGACCAGGCCAGTAACTTCTCAGTGCATTTTGTAATTCCAGTTCGACAGTTACCTGCTGTGTAATCACTCATGGACAGATCTACGTAAACATAACTGGTACCGTAGAATCTCTTGGGAAGGAATGGGATGCCTGGGATAGCGAGTAGCAGTAGTTCTGGTGTTTTGGGTTTTTTGTAACTGGTTATTTGGGCAAATCACGATTTCGCAGGTGTAAGCATCTTTCGAATTTCAGAATGGGAGAGGATATTCGGCCCGTATCTTGCAAAGAGAGAGGGTGGAGCTGCTCGTTCCGGTTGGGCTCCTCGTTCTAGCATCTCTTCATCTCTTCTCTCCACACGTATGGACCCAGAACTTAATTGAGCAGCTGACTAATTACATGAAACTTTAGTTTGGGGTTAACCGAGATTATCTGCTGTGTCGCAGTCTTGAAAACCATTGAAGACTACACGTGGAAAAGTCATGATGGGGCGGCGCACTATTGGCCCAGCGTCGTCCAGGGTAGGGGAGGGAATGGCCGGCAGGGGATGTAGCTCAGTTGGTAGAGCATGGCGTTTGCAACGCCAGGGTTGTGGGTTCGATAAAATAATGTATGTGCTAACTGTAAGTCGCTCTGGATAAGAGCGTCTGCTAAATGACTAAAATGTAAATGTAAATGTAATGTATTTGAGCAATATGATTGGCCATTCATTCAACCACGCTCCTCGCGAGTCACAACTTCTCAAGCAGTACATACTGTAAATTGATGCGTTCACACATCACACGTGAGCTGTCCAGAATAAAAAGAAGCACTCACCAATCCATTTCCTTTAAGGAAATTGATTTATAAAAGTAAACCTTCAATAGTGAGCATACAGTACTAGCAATGTGCTGGCTACTGTTGATAATCTGCACAAAGAATGCTACAAAAAGACATCTAGCATTCATCTTGGCTAATCTACTTTAGCCAGATTAATATATTCTCTTTTGAAAGGCAGTTGTCATAATGGCGCAGCGTCCTATTTTTAGATCTTCTCAAAATAACATGCAATTAATACAATGCAATTCTAAATAATTATATTGCTAGATTCTATTATACAGCTTTTTAATACATACCATAATAAACAAATGTAGCCTATTATTAGCTGAATATAGAGAGAAAGCATGCCAACATATAGGCCCTGCATGACCCCAATGCATTTTAACTACACCATGTCCGGGCCAGTAGAAATTATGTTTGGGCCAGTCGATTTTTGGCCAACTGGCCCAACCGGGCCAGTGAGAAAAAACGTTAATGTTTCACCCTGGTTCTGTGATATTTCTTTGTCCACTTTTTCATTGCAAATCTTTTTTTTTCATTCAGTCTTAAAATGAAAACCTGAAGGCGTTTAATCGACTGGATATTTTCCATCCCTTGAAGCCTGTTTAGTCCAGTCAGTGTAAGAGATGAGTCGCCAGGTCTCATATCATGGCATATCTTCCCAGTTACTGTCACTGCTCTCCATGACTGTCCCATTGTGAATATACTGTACAGCCAGGACAGACTTAAACAACTTCAAATATCTTGTCTTTTTCCAGAGCAGAGTCGTTTGGCGTCTCTCCTCCATAATTCCTGAGTATAAACAGACAGACGTCTCAGACGTTTTCCCCGTAAAGAGTCTAGTGAGGGACTGCTACATGTGCAAACAGCATGCTAAATATAAAGCCATAGAGAGGGGTTGGGGTGGGAGGGTTTTAACGTTGGCACGTAACTCTCTCAGTCCCAGTGACATCCACAGTGACTTTTTGTTCTTTCCGGAACTGGATAGTATTTAGCCCCTGTATTTATAGCAGTGTGTGTAGAAGAGAGCTGAACTGGAAGGTTGGGTCATGAGAACTAGAGACTTCTAGTTTGGAGGGAAACATGATTTAAGGTGGGCAGCTGGTTGTCTTATTATAGGTACTAGTGTGGTTCTGTAATCTTCCATTACTTCTGTCTAGGATGACAACGTTTGCCAATAAACTATATACTGTCCTTGACCACGTTGTGAGTATCGCTCGAGTGAAGTCCATGCTTGACAACATTTGCCAAGAAACTATATACTACATACTTACTTCACCTCGTTCTGAGTATCGTTCATTTGAGTTTGAATCCCATGCTTGCATAGACAGGCAGTTTAGGATGATTTGAAGGAGCTGTTAGGCTAGACCTTATAACACCCAAAGCAGCTATCTCACCAACAAAAGTGCTTGGTAAACCACCTCTCCCTAATGGCAGGCTATAGAGAGTTATTGTAGATTCAATCGAGCGTAAAATGCCCTCAGTGCATCCCATATCCCACACACGATGAATGCAGCTGCTCATTCCAAATCAGGCCCTGGGGTCACTTTAGGCTATTCTTCACCGTTAGTGTCAGCTAGCTACATAATCGACCCTGAGAGTTATAACTGCAATCAACACTATATCAGCATCAGGGGAGTCAGAGCATCATCAATCTTCCTACCAAGGCTTATATACAGTTGCGGCCTAAATATATTGGCAACCTTGCACTTTTCTTAAATAATTCCCTATTTCATCTAAAATAAGTTGAAATTGAAAATAACATTTGGTCTCCACACCTTTATTATTGGATTTTCAACATTGCAGAACAAATTGTATTTTTGTAAACTTAAATTGGCATGGACAAAATGATTGGCACCCGGAGCTAGTACTTGGTTGCACAGCCTTTGGCCAAGATAACTGCCAACAAATGCTTCTTGTAGCCATCAATGAGCTGCACCTTTCTACTGGCAATTTGGCCCACTGTTCAGCAGCAAACTGCTGTAATTCTCCAATGTTTGAGGATTGCCCTCGACCAACTGCTGTTTTCAGCTCACCATAGGTTATGGATGTGATTCAGATTTGAATTCTTCGCTGGCTACTGCAGAACAGTCCATAATTTCTTCTTGAACCATTCCAGTGTGCTTTTGATGTGTGTTTGGGGTTGTTGTCCTGCTGGAAGGCCCACAACCTTCAACAGAGACACAGTTTTTGGACATTGCAATCCAAAACACCTTGATAATCTGCTGATTTCATGATGTCTTGCACACATTCAAGGCCCCCAGTGCCAGAGGCTGCATGGCAATGCCATAGCATTAACAAACCTCCCCCATGTTTGATTATGGGGAGGGTGTTCTATTCTTTATAGAATGCTTAATTTGGTCGTTGGTAAACATAGGAAGACCCCACTGCTGAAGGAGACACAAGAAAGCCTGATTGAACTTCTCATACACCCACCTAAACAAGCATAAATCCTGTGGAAAATGTTCTGTGGACCAATAAAACAAAATTAGAGCTCTTTGACAATACAAATTAGCGCTGTATTTACTGACAAATTAAGCACACCCTCCCTACAATAAAAAATGGGGGAGGTTTAAAAATGCTGTGGGGTTGCTTTGCTGCCTCTGGTACTGGGGGCCATGAACGTGCGCAAAGCATCATGAATCAGCAGATTATCAGGTGTTTTGGAGTGCAATGTTCAACCCAATGTCCAAGAATTGGGTCTCCATTGAAGGTTGTGGGTCTTCCAGCAGGACAACGACCCCAGCCACACATCCAAAAGCACCCAGGAATGGTTCAAGAAGTGAGGATGGACTGTAATGAAGTGGCCAGAGACAAATCCAGATCTGAATCACATACTAAACCTATGGCAAGATCTGAAAACTGCATTGGTGGAGGGCATCCCTCAAACAATGAAGAATTAGAGCAGTTTGCTGCTAAAAAGTGGGTCAAATTGCCAGTATAAATGTGCAGCAAGCTCATTGATGGCTACAAAAAGTGTTTGTCTGCAGTTATCTTGGCAAAAGGCTGTGCAACCAAGTACTAGCTCCGGGGTGTAGTGATGCGCGGGTTGACTCATAACCTGCAGTCCCCGCGGTTATATCCATGGGGCGGACTGGTTTAGGGTAATTCAATATTGTGTGACTGAAGGGCGGGTGTGTGGCGGGCGGGTTGAATAAAGAGAAACAATACCTTGAAAAATCCATGCAATTTTTATAGGCTACATTGAGGTTTTTCTTTCATTATTTTAGGCTATCTGGTATTAGTGCATAAGCCTACACTTTAGGGCTTAACTGTATGCACGCCAAATAGCCTATACAGTCAATCTCCAAATAATGCTTTTGGGAACGGGCAGAAAAGTTACCGTCAATCCACGGAGGCAAAAGGGACATTGTCGAAGTTGAATTCAATAAGACAAAAGCTGCGAAAGGAGAGTTGAAAATATAGAGAAGGGAGGGCCAGAAAAGTAATGTTTGGAAAATATTTGGTGAAGTGGTAAAAGAGGATGATAGTAGTGCCTGCTATGTTATGTGTGATGATTGTGAAGCGCTATATAAATTCGACAGTCACAAGACGGGACTTCAAATAGGCCTATGGCATGTCAAGGGAACTGTAGCCTACTGTTTAGATGGGTTAAATGGAAACTGAAATCTGGACATTGACTGACTAACCAGAATAACCTACTGTTTTTTGGCAAACTCCAAAGTACTCTAATAATACTAGTCCCGTGCTAATCGACATCCCTGTGTTTTGAGAGAAATTTATGAGTTTGACAGGTATTGCTCGCGGTTTGAGTATGAAAACAATAACTGATTCGATAAATTGAACGAAGTGCTGCGCATAGCCTATATATGAAGGGCCTACATGTATCAACTTTCACAGTGAATGCTTTTGTTTATACGTTTTTTGCGAATGAATTGAACATCGCCAAATGCATCATAAAAAAATATTGTGCCTATTTAATGCAACCCTTGCCGTTAATAGATCGCAAAGCAGCATGTAACAGAGCTAAACGTTTGGAACAAGTTCACTTTCTCACCCATAGCCTAAAAACACATATCAAGTGCAAGTTAGTGTAGTGTATTGACAATATGATGGTGTTAAATGTTTTTAAATGGAACTGAAAGAATGTTGATTTTTGGTATCAAGAGGGAAGGTTTTAGCGTGACGCCACATATGACAGACAGGAAGTGGGTTGTAAGATACGGGGATTGAACAGTAGAGGGAGCCATTCAACTCTTGGAAGGCTATATAAAGGGGGGAAGAACGGCGGAGAGTTAGAACATAGGAAGATTCATTTGGGACTGGTTCTCCGGACAACGCGGGTCTGTACTTATGCTGTAACTCGTGGTATTAATAAAATTCTCTAGAACACGATACAGTCTAAGGGATTCTTTGATCGACAGCAATACCCACCAGCATTCGACACGATACCACATTAGCTATTTAGCTCACATCTGAAGGCTGTGGGGCATTTAGGATGTCTTCTACTACGGTTCGCTAAAATATCCTGATTATGATCACACTTCCTCCATTCAAATATAATGGAGACACTTTACCAAAGATGGTTTGGTATGGTTTAGAAACTTGGGAACCAAGCTCAAGTTATCAGTGTAGCCTGTTATTGCCTGGACTTGTTGAAATATCTTCACGCCTAGAAAAAAAAAATATATATATATACAGTACCAGTCGGACTGCAGAGTGAAGGAAAAGCAGCCAACAAGTGCTCAGCATATGTGGGAACTCCTTCAAGACTGTTGGAAAAGCATTCCAGGTGAAGCTGGTTGAGAGAATGCCAAGAGTGTGCAAAGCTGTCATCAAGGCAAAGGGTGGCTATTTGAAGAATCTCAAATATAAAATATATTTTGATTTGTGTAACACTTTTTGGGTTACTACATGATTTCAAATGTGTTATTTCATAGTTTTGTTGTCTTCACTATTATTCTACAATTTAGAAATTAGTACAAATAAGAAAAACTCTTGAATGAGTAGGTGTGTCCAAAAGTTTGACTGGTTTTGTAGAAACCAAGAGAAAGAACGTTCTCTAGTAATACTAGTCCCGTACGAATAGGGCTATAGCCGTAATAATAACTCCTGCAGAATTAAGCGTTTCTTGCAGTAAAATGATACACCAAATGTAGGTAAAAATGTGGACTTGGGAACAGGAGTGGAGAAATATGATTTATTTCTTTTTGCATCTTGAGAGAATATAATGCTCAGTTAGATACCATCTGTAGAGGTGCTGTCTTTATCATAAAAGCATCATAAAAGCTGATAGTATTTAAACCACAAAAAATATGCACTGAAGCCAAACTGAAATATTTTCAGAAACAAGTTGGGTTGTTTTCACAGCTTTCTTTTTCCTTACAACCGGTCAAACTGATGTCATTTGGACATTTTGCACAGAAAATCTTTCCTGTCGTTTTTTGTTGTTGCGTTATTGTATTTTCTTCCCAGTCCCTAAACTTCTTTGCTACGCGAAAGATGACAGAGAAAACTTTACCGATGTCAACTAGATTTAATAATTAATTCTGTCGATCTATTACATTATTCTGTTGAGCAAGGGTTTATTTAGTCTTCTAGGACAACATATAATGACACAAGAGAAGCTACATTTATCTAATTATAGACATGTTGACTAACAAATTATGAGCAGAAACATATCTAAATCAGGCAACAACAAAAAATCCTCCACCCCTGTCATAAAATAATTCTACAGTCTTTGACTGTAGCCTATGGCACATTATCTATATTTGCGGGTTAGGGTAGGGTGCGGGGCTCAGATTTTCACTTGATCACATATAGTCGGGATGGGTTATTAGCAATTGCGGGCGGGTGCAAGTGAACAAACAGCTGACCCACTAACGGGGTGCCAATAATTTTGTCCATGCCTTTTTGTCTTTATTTTCTGAATTAAAATTGTAAACTAAAGTTTAGAAAAATAAAATTGGTTCTGCAATGTTGAAAATCTAATAACAATAACATATTTTTTTTAACTTATTTTTTAAACTTATTTTAGAAGAAATAGGGAATTATTTAAGAAAAGTACAAGGGTGCCAATATATTTGGCCGCAACTATATATACAGTACACCTACTCATCTTTTGACTGCCGGATTCTTTAGTAAGAACTGTCTAATGAGCTGTCTAATGCCACGGCAGCACTCATGCCACAGTGCCACACATAACATGTAGTGTCAGCTCTTGGTATGCAGATGAAGACAAATTACCATAGAGTCAGTAGTGTTCGTCCTCAGTGTGCCCCTGGTTTTGGAATGATATGATTTGATTAGTCGGACTCATTTACTGTACATATGAGTGTGGCCGGAGGTCCAGCATGGAGCGCGCATTCCGGGTTTAAGCTTCCGGATGCATCTCCACTAATCCCTGTCACTCCCAGGGGCTTTGTAGGGAATGTGAGCGATAGCACTTCTGTTCGTCCCAACATGGCTGCCTCATAGCCCGCAGGGCCGGGTTACAACAGGTCACAGGTCAAGGATGACCACAAGGAGGAAACTGTCACCCATTCATATTCATTTGTACATTCATCTACGTTCTAGGTGATTGAGACAGAGGGAGTGGAGTGTGTGGTGTTGCTATGTTACAGTTAATTAATTTATGTGGTTATTTCCTCAATGCACGTCTCCCTTGCTGAAGTGCTGGCGTTTCCTGTGTACGGCTCACCTCACATGGCTATAGGGCGCATTGAAGTGGGGCGGCGGAGGCGCAATTGCTTGAACCCTTATCACTGCAGGCCATAATGAATTTTCATTATGTTATCAATTTATTAAGGTCTTTTGAGATTGTATAAATGTAACTCTGTATCAAATACTATTTAGCAGTATGCATCTGTAGTCTGGGCCTATACAAGAGAACCTATTGAAAAATAATTGCAATTAATTGATCAGAGTATAGCTACATGATTTCTGTATAGATTAAGGTTTCTCAAAATTTAAATTGGAGAACCGGTATTGTGTTTTGGTGCTTTGCAAACTGTCTGCATATGAGTGGTATATGAAAAACACAATATTATCAAAAGTAGGCATTCTAATCTCAGTATCCACGAGCATGTGCCTCGGTCCTCCAGAGCTGACATTGCTAACACTCTTCTGCCGCTATCCCCTGTCTGTTTGTTGTTTCAGGGCCACTGATGTCCACACACTCTGTCCCCAGTAACCTGGATAGCAGCAGCAAGGCCGGAGACAGGAGGCCCTCCAAAGCTGGGGTCAGTAAAGAGAATAGCAGTGTGGACTTAAGCAAGGTAACCCCTGCTACTGGGCAAAGAAAGCCCCTCATCAGCCACATTCATCCATAGGTCCAAGACAACCATCATCACCCACTCCCTTCCTTCTAGAACCAAGAGGCAGTCTCAAAGTAAACTGTACAGTGTTTTAATTCAATAACTGGGTTTGGTTCAGTGAGCTCTCCCTCATTATATCACTTTACGACTCTTTCAACCATGAAATAAATAGCCTGGCGGCCGTGAGGAGTTATCAGCTTCAAACCAGCTTTCATGTGTATGCCAAGAAACAACCTCATACTTGCTGGGGGAGTCTAATCAAAAGAGGGAGAGGGAGACAGAGAGTGTGTGTGTTTGTGGAAAAGAGAGAGATGCAGATATTACCCATCTCAGTGGGCAAGGTTTCCCAGCTCTCTTACATAGTTCAAACAAACAACCTTGTGATGAAAGGGACTCCATTGCTCAGTACTGCCCTTATAGCTTCCCTCTACGCCAGTGGTTCCCAAACTGTTGGGTAGGAACTCAGTCCGGTGTTCAAGTTACTCTTGAAAGTTGTAATAGTAGAATGCACAAGTTGAAATTTCAAAATTAGGTAGTGATAATCAGTATTTCTCTTGTCATGTCAGTCATTGCATACCTTAGAGAGCGATTTATAACTTGTCAGAAATGTCCAGATCAACTAGCCCATGTAAGCTAACGTTTTCAGCTAGCCCATGTTGGAGTCGCTCAAATATCACATGAATACACATTAGACATGGTAAAATGTATAGAATTGCAAGAAAATAAGCTTTAAACACACAAAATGTTATCTCCGCCAGTTTGTGTCATGAACAGTGCTTGTACCAATAGAAATAGACATGGCGCTGGATGTTCCCCAATGCTAGAAGGGGGGCCTGAGTGAAAAAGTTTGGGTACCCCTGCTCTACACCACTAACACCGTAGCTTCCCCCAACCATAGCATCTATCCATAGCTGCCATCTGCCACTCAGCATGATCCCTCCATCCCCAGTCATTCCTTCCTTTCATTTGAAGTCTCTCCCTACTCTGTTGTGCCCATTGGGCTCCAGGTAGATACTGTACAATGATATAACATACACTGCTCAAAAGAATTAAGGGAACACTAAAATAACATCCTAGATCTGAATGAATGAAATAATCTTATTAAATACTTTTTTCTTGACATAGTTGAATGTGCTGACAACAAAATCACACAAAAATGATCAATGGAAATCAAATGTATCAACCCATGGAGGTCTGGATTTGGAGTCACCCTCAAAATTAAAGTGGAAAACCACACTACAGGCTGATCCAACTTTGATGTAATGTCCTTAAAACAAGTCAAAATGAGGCTCAGTAGTGTGTGTGGCCTCCACGTGCCTGTATGACCTCCCTACAACGCCTGGGCATGCTCCTGATGAGGTGGCGGATGGTCTCCTGAGGGATCTCCTCCCAGACCTGGACTAAAGCATCCGCCAACTCCTGGACAGTCTGTGGTGCGACGTGGCGTTGGTGGATGGAGCGAGACATGATGTCCCAGATGTGCTCAATTGGATTCAGGTCTGGGGAACGGGCGGGCCAGTCCATAGCATCAATGCCTTCCTCTTGCAGGAACTGCTGACACACTCCAGCCACATGAGGTCTAGCATTGTCTTGCATTAGGAGGAACCCAGGGCCAACCGCACCAGCATATGGTCTCACAAGGGGTCTGAGGATCTCATCTCGGTACCTAATGGCAGTCAGGCTACCTCTGGCGAGCACATGGAGGGCTGTGCGGCCCCCCAAAGAAATGCCACCCCACACCATGACTGACCCACCATCAAACCGGTCATGCTGGAGGATGTTGCAGGCAGCAGAACGTTCTCCACGGCGTCTCCAGACTCTGTCACGTCTGTCACATGTGCTCAGTGTGAACCTGCTTTCATCTGTGAAGAGCACAGGGCGCCAGTGGCGAATTTGCCAATCTTGGTGTTCTCTGGCAAATGCCAAACGTCCTGCACGGTGTTGGGCTGTAAGCACAACCCCCACCTGTGGACGTCAGGCCCTCATACCACCCTCATGGAGTCTGTTTCTGACCGTTTGAGCAGACACATGCACATTTGTGGCCTGCTGGAGGTCATTTTGCAGGGCTCAGGCAGTGCTCCTCTTGCTCCTCCTTGCACAAAGGCGGAGGTAGCAGTCCTGCTGCTGGGTTGTTGCCCTCCTACGGCCTCCTCCACGTCTCCTGATGTACTGGCCTGTCTCCTGGTAGCGCCTCCATGCTCTGGACACTACGCTGACAGACACAGTAAACCTTCTTGCCACAGCTCGCATTGATGTGCCATCCTGGATGAGCTGCACTACCTGAGCCACTTGTGTGAGTTGTAGACTCCGTCTCATGCTACCACTAGAGTGAAAGCACCGCCAGCATTCAAAAGTGACCAAAACATCAGCCAGGAAGCATAGGAACTGAGAAGTGGTCTGTGGTCACCACCTGCAAAACCAGTCCTTTATTGGGGTTGTCTTGCTAATTGCCTATAATTTCCACCTGTTGTCTATTCCATTTGCACAACAGCATGTGACATTTATTGTCAATCAGTGTTGCTTCCTAAGTGGACAGTTTGATTTCACAGAAGTGTGATTGACTTGGAGTTACATTGTGTTGTTTAAGTGTTCCCTTTATTTTTTTGAGCAGTGTATATATTTTTCTCGGCATGATTTCTTATACCAGTGTTTCCCAATATAAAGCTGCGTTCCCGTGGGCATCACGTGGGACCTGCAGGCCACGCAGAGATCATTGTGGTGCGGGTGGCATTTTTCACGCTAGGGGCGGGAGCGGGTGGTCAGATAGACAACTTATTTAGAACGGTTGTCTTTCTGTTTTGCATGTGTTATCTATTGCATTACAAAACCCTAGAGTCGACGTCCACGCCCCCATGGAAATCTAGTTAGCATAATACAAAAAATCCCTATAAAAATCTGTCCGTTTAAGCTAGAGATCTGTTTAGCATTGGATGCGTCTCAATCCACCACATCTGCCGATGTCTCACTTCCGCATCTGCGGTGAAAGGTGGCAGGGCTAGAGCGGTGTTTGCTTTACAACCCCCACAAGCGTCTTGGGACTCATCTGAAGTCGGTACAGCCGATCTTCCAACTTCTGTCTGTAGCGTCCAAACATTTTGGGCTACACGCTAATATGACCCCTCTGTGGAAAGGTGAGACTCTCACGAACACATACATGTTGTTTTGCTCTAGGATGCCCATAGGCCACACAAGACTCGTCTGAAGGTCCCCCGGTACCAGTTGAAAAAATTAATGGAAGTATACAGTGGGGAAAAAAAGTATTTAGTCAGCCACCAATTGTGCAAGTTCTCCCACTTAAAAAGATGAGAGAGGCCTGTAATTTTCATCATAGGTACACGTCAACTATGACAGACAAATTGAGATTTTTTTTCCAGAAAATCACATTGTAGGATTTTTAATGAATTTATTTGCAAATTATGGTGGAAAATAAGTATTTGGTCACCTACAAACAAGCAAGATTTCTGGCTCTCACAGACCTGTAACTCCTCTGTAGAGGCTCCTCTGTAGACCTCCACCAGGCTGGGAAGACTGAATCTGCAATGGGTAAGCAGCTTGGTTTGAAGAAATCAACTGTGGGAGCAATTATTAGGAAATGGAAGACATACAAGACCACTGATAATCTCCCTCGATCTGGGGCTCCACGCAAGATCTCACCCCGTGGGGTCAAAATGATCACAAGCAAAAATCCCAGAACCACACGGGGGGACCTAGTGAATGACCTGCAGAGAGCTGGGACCAAAGTAACAAAGCCTACCATCAGTAACACACTACGCCGCCAGGGACTCAAATCCTGCAGTGCAAGACGTGTCCCCCTGCTTAAGCCAGTACATGTCCAGGCCCGTCTGAAGTTTGCTAGAGTGCATATGGATGATCCAGAAGAGGATTGGGAGAATGTCATATGGTCAGATGAAACCAAAATAGAACTTTTTGGTAAAAACTCAACTCGTTGTGTTTGGAGGACAAAGAATGCTGAGTTGCATCCAAAGAACACCATACCTACTGTGAGCATGGGGGTGGAAACATCATGCTTTGGGGCTGTTTTTCTGCAAAGGGACCAGGACGACTGATCCGTGTAAAGGAAAGAATGAATGGGGCCATGTATCGTGAGATTTTGAGTGAAACCCTCCTTCCATCAGCAAGGGCATTGAAGATGAAACGTGGCTGGGTCTTTCAGCATGACAATGATCCCAAACACACCGCCCGGGCAACGAAGGAGTGGCTTCGTAAGAAGCATTTCAAGGTCCTGGAGTGGCCTAGCCAGTCTCCAGATCTCAACCCCATAGAAAATCTTTGGAGGGAGTTGAAAGTCCGTGTTGCCCAGCGACAGCCCCAAAACATCACTGCTCTAGAGGAGATCTGCATGGAGGAATGGGCCAAAATACCAGCAACAGTGTGTGAAAACCTTGTGAAGACTTACAGAAAACGTTTGACCTGTGTCATTGCCAACAAAGGGTATAAAACAAAGTATTGAGAAACTTTTGTTATTGACAAATACTTATTTTCCACCATAATTTGCAAATAAATTCATTAAAAATCCTACAATGTGATTTTCTGGAAAACATTTTCTCATTTTGTCTGTCATAGTTGACGTGTACCTATGATGAAAATTACAGGCCTCTCATCTTTTTAAGTGGGAGAACTTGCACAATTGGTGGCTGACTTAATACTTTTTTTCCCCACTGTATCTCTTAGATATAGGACAGCCACTTCAGAACAATAATACGATAGCCTAATATAAAGGGCCACGTGAGAATATCTGGTATTTCCTTAGGCTATTTTGATCTTGCCTAGGGTGGCAAAATGGCTGGAACCGGGGCTGCAAAGCGAGCTGCGTCACATACACCTCAAATAACATTGCAGGACTGTGGTCGGGTTCGGGACCAGTTCTTGCGGGAGCGGGTGGGAGTCGGACAAGAAGTCAGCAGGAGCGGGCGCGGTATGAAAAGCAGTGGGCAGGAGCGGGATGGAGAATTCTGTCCTGCGCAGACCTCTATTTCACTAACACTAACACTCTTGATTCAACTAATCAACTCATCATCAAGCCTTTGATTATTTGAATCAGGTGTGCTAGTGCTAGGGCAAAAAAACTCAAATGTGCTTTGGGTCCCCAGGACAAGGATTGGGAGACACTGTCTTATATAGTTGTTACTCCCTAAAGTCTTTCTCTCTGTCCCATTCGACTCCTTTAGGTGGACATGAACTTCATGAAGAAGATTCCTCCAGGCGCTGAAGCGTCCAACGTACTGGTAGGGGAGGTGGACTTCCTGGAGAGGCCCATCATCGCCTTCGTACGCCTGGCCCCCGCCGTCCTCATCACAGGGCTCACCGAGGTGCCCGTGCCCACCAGGTAGGTACACTACACCTCTACACCCACTCTTTCACTTCTCTTTCTCTGTCTAACCTGCTGGTTCTAGGTTTTATTCTTGCACCTACTCCCCTACAGGAACCTAAACCATTTTTATTTGGAGTCATAAGTCCTATCACCAAATATACTCACTTATGTTGGGTTTTGAATAAATCAATATCTGCCTATATCTGACCATTTACATATATTTGTGTTCAGTCTAATGAAAATGGTTTGTGCTCCCTACAGGTTTCTGTTTCTGCTGCTGGGTCCAAATGGTAAAGGCCCTCAGTACCATGAGATTGGCAGATCCATGGCCACACTGATGACAGATGAGGTAACATTAATTAATAAACATTCATTAGCTCCCCCCACATGCATAGAATAGAATAACTCATTTGTGAAACTTTTTCCCTTTAGGGGGACCTTTAGGTGTGGCATTCAGATTAGATTAATTTTAAGATCATTAGATCAAAATGTAAAAGCTATACTGTTTCCTGCATGTCTCTGTAGATATTCCATGATGTGGCGTACAAAGCCAAAGACCGGACGGACCTGCTGTCTGGGATAGATGAATTTCTGGACCAGGTGACAGTCCTGCCCCCAGGAGAATGGGACCCCACGATACGAATCGAACCCCCCAAGAACGTCCCATCGCAGGTGTGGGTCTAAGAAAATCTACATGTCTAAAGTTAAGCCTGATTTGAGATGATTGGTCACATATTTAGTGCTCTTCAATCATGATCCTGGAGACCCACAAGGGGAGCAGGCTTTTGTTTCAGCCTAGCACTAACACACTTGATTAAACTAGTCAAGGGCTTCATGATTAGTTAAATGAGATGTGTTAGTACTAGGTTGTAAATATAGCCTGCACTGCACCACCTGTGGGTCCCAGGACCAGGATTGAAGGACACTGGCTTGCATGGCAGTTTTCCATGATGTGTATGACTGCCTCCTGGTATCAGTAGAGGATACGACAGCCCTGTAATAACTTACAGTCATGCGTGCATGCATTTTCATATGGGGTGGCCCCAGCGGAATTCAAACCAACGACCCTGGCGTGGCCAACTCCATGCTCTACAAACTGAGCCACACCTGTAATGACTCTCTCACCTTTAGATGAAGAGGAAGATACCCTCCCAGCCCAACGGGTCGGCCTCACCGTCTGGGGAGATGCTGAAGGAGGAGGATGAAGGCCACGGAGCTGGGCCCGAGCTGCAAAGAACCGGACGGTGAGTTAGACATATGAATTCATAGGGGAGGTTTCCGTATTTAAGCCTAATTCTGGACTTTAAAGCATTTTCAATGGAGATTCAATTTTGAGCTTGATTACATTTTAAGCTTGCTTTTTAGTCCAGGACTAGACTTAATCTGTGTCTGCGAAAGATAGTTGATAAGGGTAAATCTCAAATGACACCCTATTTCTTACATAGAATTCTGATCAATAGGGTAACATTTGAAACACTGCTTAAGACTCTAGTATCATAGAAAATAATATGGCATGGCATATGCAATATGTTGTAAAACTCTCTTTTTAATAATTTGATGTCATAGTAATACAAATAAATGTTATTCGTGATGAAATTCATTGCACATTGATAAGGTAATACATTATTGAAACTGTTTATGAAGGCAAAATTAACAACATACAATTCCCACATACTGTGACAAGTCATAAATATAACTACACACAGCACATAACCACCCATATTGAAAGGTAGATTTTAATGTTGTATAGATCATTATCACTGCACACTTTACAATTACGATGCTGACATAAATAGATACTCCGGTTCTAGGTGTAAAAGCTTCTGCGATCACGTGGCTGCCCTGTTTGTAGTGTGTTTATTTGCGACCTCACTCCCCCAGGACACACCCACCCACACCTCGCAGACTGGCCACTGAATTATTTACCATTCCGCAGATCCACTCTCAACTCTGCATGCTGCTATAAAAAGCCACAAGCTGAGAGAGAGTCACTCTCTCTTTCGGCGGTGTTAGTCAGTTCCTGACCACAAAGTGGTTGGTGACTTAGAGCTGAGAGTGTTGGGTTGAGCGTGTTTGTGTAAGTTAGCTGAGTGTGTGAGGTAGAAACATGGGTTGACTGGTATCTGGGTCAGAGAGCAGGAGTTTGTCCAACTCCAGTGGGAAACTAATAGGGTTCCCCTCAGCAAGGAACGTACAGTGAGGGAAAAAAATATTTGATCCCCTGCTGATTTTGTACGTTTTCTCACTGACAAAGACATGATCAGTCTATAATTTTAATGGTAGGTTTATTTGAACAGTGAGAGACAGAATAACAACAAAAAAATCCAGAAAAACGCATGTCAAAAATGTTATAAATTTATTTGCATTTTAATGAAGGAAATAAGTATTTGACCCCTCTGCAAAACATGACTTAGTACTTGGTGGCAAAACCCTTGTTGGCAATCACAGAGGTCAGACGTTTCTTGTAGTTGGCCACCAGGTTTGCACACATCTCAGGAGGGATTTTGTCCCACTCCTCTTTGCAGATCTTCTCCAAGTCATTAAGGTTTCGAGCCTGACGTTTGGCAACTCAAACCTTCAGCTCCCTCTACAGATTTTCTATGGGATTAAGGTCTGGAGACAGGCTAGGCCACTCCAGGACCTTAATGTGGTTCTTCTTGAGCCACTCCTTTGTTGCCTTGGCCGTGTGTTTTGGGTCATTGTCATGCTGGAATACCCATCCACGACCCATTTTCAATGCCCTGGCTGAGGGAAGGAGGTTCTCACTCAAGATTTGACGGTACATGGCCCCGTCCATCGTCCCTTTGATGCGGTGATGTTGTCCTGTCCCCTTAGCAGAAAAACACCCCCAAAGCATAATGTTTCCACCTCCATGTTTGACGTGGGGATGGTGTTCTTGGGGTCAACGGCAGCATTCCTCCTCCTCCAAACATGGCGAGTTGAGTTGATGCCAAAGAGCTCGATTTTGGTCTCATCTGACCACAACACTTTCACCCAGTTCTCCTCTGAATCATTCAGATGTTCATTGGCAAACTTCAGACGGGCCTGTATATGTGCATTCTTGAGCAGGGGGACCTTGCGGGCGCTGCAGGATTTCAGTCCTTCACGGCGTAATGTGTTACCAATTGTTTTCTTGGTGACTATGGTCCCAGCTGCCTTGAGATCATTGACAAGATCCTCCCGTGTAGTTCTGGGCTGATTCCTCACCGTTCTCATGATCATTGCAACTCCACGAGGTGAGATTTTGCATGTAGCCCCAGGCCGAGGGAGATTGACAGTTCTTTTGTGTTTCTTCCATTTGCGAATAATCACACCAACTGTTGTCACCTTCTCACCAAGCTGCTTGGCGATGGTCTTGTAGCCCATTCCAGCCTTGTGTAGGTCTACAATCTTGTCCCTGACATCCTTGGAGAGCTCTTTGGTCTTGGCCATGGTGGAGAGTTTGGAATCTGATTGATTGATTGCTTCTGTGGACAGGTGTCTTTTATACAGGTAACAAGCTGAGATTAGGAGCACTCCCTTTAAGAGTGTGCTTCTAATCTCAGCTCGTTACCTGTATAAAAGACACCTGGGAGCCAGAAATCTTTCTGATGGAGTGTCAAGGGGTGCTGAAGGTGGGTGTGGTGCAGGAATCAAGCGCAGGACGCAGAAACTAAGTCCAAAATACTTTAGTGAAATATTCACGTAGTACACGAGCAAACAAGCCCGGAGGCGAAGTAAAGGCGCACACAGGCGTCAAAACAATAGGCGCACTAACATGTGCGAAAACCTCTCCAAAACAACGGAGGGAAACACGTAGCTCAGAACACCAAACAGAAGAGCAATCACACACAACACCTGACACACACAACGAGAACTAAATAGGACACTAATGAGGACTAACTAGACACAGGTGTACAACATCAAGACACAACCAAACGAACATGAAACATAGATCGGTGGCAGCTAGTACTCCGGGGACGACGACCGCCGAAACCTGCCCGAACAAGGAGGAGGAGCAGCCTCGGCCGAAACCGTGACATGGAGAGGGGGTCAAATACTTATTTCCCTCATTAAAATGCATTTTGTTGTTCTGTCTCTCACTGTTCAAATAAACCTACCATTAAAATTATAGACTGATCATGTCTTTGTCAGTGGGCGAACGTACAAAATCAGCAGGGGATCAAATACTTTTTTCCCTCACTGTAGCTCTAAGCATCACAGTTAGGAAATGACCATTAACCAAAGATCTCTGAAATGTGAATGAATGCTTGTGAAATAAGTGTCCAAAAATCTGTATCACCAATGAACTGCCATTCACATACTGTGATGGGCCAAAAATGTTATCTGGGGGTTCCAAAAAGTAATCTGGCAGAACCTATTGATGATGGTTATCTGTGGGTCCTAAAAAAATATCTGGGAGCCCTATTGAAGGTCCAAAAACTTATCTCGGAGTCAAAGAATGTGTTGTATGGTCCCCTGTATGGTCCAAAAACCTAATCCAGAAGTACAAGATGTAATCTGGGAGTCCAAGGGAGTGATCTGGGGTACTTTACCACATTAGTATAATGCTGCTACTTTAGTTAGTCTGCTGTAAAGTGTTGTGGTTTTTCCCTTCCTCCAGGATCTTTGGAGGCCTTGTGATGGATATAAAGCGGAAGGCCCCGTTCTACTGGAGCGACATCCGGGACTCGTTGAACCTGCAGTGTCTGGCCTCCATCCTGTTCCTCTACTGCGCCTGCATGTCCCCTGTCATCACCTTCGGCGGGCTGCTGGGCGAGGCCACGAAGGGCAACATAGTGAGTGGGTCCTTGTCCATGAGTGTCAATGAATGCCACTCCGATTACATCTTTTTGTCTTCTGTCTGTGCTGTATCATCTAATATATGCAAGTCACTTAGCTGCCTGGTAAAACTAGTTTACTGCAAGTTCTTACCCTATTTTTTTATCACTAAAAGCATATAGGATGCATATCACTAAGCAAATAGGTGGTTAGATAGTGTCCCTCTTCCTCACTGCGAGCTACTCTATATACTGTCTCCATGCTTTGATCCTGACAATGAGTTACACACACACCCTACAGTGACCCTAGATGTCTTTATTAGGAGGGAGACTGTTGGCATAGCGAGCGTCAGCGCGCTGGGGTGTGTGATGTGTCTGAGTAAACTCACCAGATGACGAGGGGCGGAGGGATATGAGAAATGACAGGCCGACGGGGTGGGAAAAGTTTATCTAGGCAGTCTGAGCTGGAATGTCGGTTTAAACGTATGTATTATGTTATGTGGGGTGTTCTGTCCGCTTTGCCTCTTTTCCCTTAGTCTCCCCCTCTCTCTGGCTTCCTCAATGTATTTACCTCCTCGTCATCCTCCCCTTTCCCTCCTTCTTTCCCTTCTCCTGCTACAGAGTGCCATAGAGTCTCTGTTTGGGGCTTCCCTCACAGGAGTGGCCTTCTCTCTGTTTGCGGGGCAGCCCCTCACTATCCTGGGCAGCACGGGGCCTGTCCTGGTTTTCGAGAAGATCCTCTTTAAGTTCTGCAAGTGAGTGCTACACCGATCCTGGTTACACTCATTCGCACAGGGGCCCTCTGGCGGTAGCAACCTGCAAGAACAAGCTCACTACTGCCATTTGGGGATTTCTAATTAGTTTCTAAGTAACTCCCTGAGTTTTATATAGTGTACATGTACAGTAAGTTACAGGGCCTGGAGTTTTTTCTGTCAAGTCACATGGTCAGGAAAAACTCGGGGCCCTAACTAGTTATGAGAGAAGTTGGGACAGGCTCAAGGTCATTATTAATGAATCCTCAATCATTTCATAAGGCATAGTCCGAGTGATTGCTCCTCCCCTACAATTGTCATAACCTCTATGCTTTGAGCTCACTGCTTCCAGTACCTAATAAGATATGGATGTGAAAATACACTGAAAACATCCAAAATACATAATCTATACAGCTAAAATCTACAGTACAATGCCATGTAAAAACAAGTTGACATTGAGGTTAAATAAAGTGTGCTTTCTCAATTTACCTAATTTTGCTAACCATTACTTTAGACAAAATCAAGATGTTTGTAATGTTTTTTTGTATCTTAAATTAGAGCTCACTTTTAGCAAATTCTAAATTTGCCATTAATCGCAAAATCCTGCTATTGAGTCTTGACCTTCTATACCGTCCTACCCACCCAGGGACTACGGCCTGTCCTACCTGTCGTTGAGGACCAGCATCGGCCTGTGGACGGCCTTCCTCTGCCTGGTCCTGGTGGCCACAGATGCTAGCTCCCTGGTCTGCTACATCACACGCTTCACAGAGGAGGCCTTCGCCGCGCTCATCTGCATCATCTTCATCTACGAGGCCCTGGAGAAGCTCTTCCACCTGGGGGAACACTACCCCGTCAATATGCACAACGAGCTGGACAACCTCACCCTCTACTCGTGAGTCAGGATCGGAGAGCCTAGGTTGAGGGCAAAAGCCGCGAGAAGTGGGCAGTGCCATTTTTCTGCTACCTTAAAAAAAACAAATGTTGACACCCATTTTCTTCAGGAAATGTACCTGTTCTATTTGGATTACTGTGTTTTAGATGTTACCACTGACTTAAAAGAGGAGCTTATGGTTTTGTGCTTGTGCTATTTAGGATGGGGAGTATAAGATTTATTCTCTTGACTCAGGTGTCAGTGTTCTCCACCGGCCAACGCCTCCTCTCAGATCTTGCAGACGTGGAACCAGACAGGACACACACCAGACTCTATCTCCTGGAACAGCCTCAACGTATCGGTCAGTCAGAGGACATACACACACACACACACACTGCAAAAACATCTGTTGAGCCTGTGTATTTCTCTGACCCTTTACTCTCTTTGTCAGATGTGTAACCTGCTCCATGGAGAGTTTGCTGGTCCTGCCTGTGGTCACCACGGCCCCTACATCCCAGACGTCCTCTTCTGGTCCATCATCCTCTTCTTCACCACCTTCTTCCTCTCATCTTTCCTCAAGGAGATCAAGACCGAGCGATACTTCCCTACAAAGGTGTGTTATTCACTTGCGAGCAGGGCGTAGAGCGCGTGCGTGTTTGTGAGTGTTCCTCTGAAATGTAAATGTGTGGTTAGTTTATTGTGCTGCATCAACATTCACAGTTAACTTCAAGGTCTTCACATTCTTCCCACACAATATGTCCCACACTTTGCTATTACCGTTAGCTACTGTGTAGGTGTTCCCACTGAGTGAATTATAATGACTGTGTTTTTTACACATTAACATGATTATGTATTGTCGTTAATATGGATTATGTAGGTGCGCTCCACCATCAGTGACTTTGCCGTGTTTCTGACCATTATGATCATGGTGCTGGTGGACTATCTAATGGGCATCCCCTCTCCTAAACTCAACGTACCCGACCGCTTTGAGGTAGGACCCTTTTGATATTGTACAGTGCCTTCATACCCCTTGACTTATTCCACATTTTGTTGTTACAGCCTGAACAAATCTCACCCACCTACAGTGAGGGGAAAAAAGTATTTGATCCCCTGCTGATTTTGTACGTTTGCCCACTGACAAAGAAATGGTAGGTTTATTTGAACAGTGAGAGACAGAATAACAACAAAAAAATCCAGAAAAACACATGTCAAAAATGTTATAAATGTATTTGCATTTTAATGAGGGAAATAAGTATTTGACCCCTCTGCAAAACATGACTTAGTACTTGGTGGCAAAACCCTTGTTGGCAATCACAGAGGTCAGACGTTTCTTGTAGTTGGCCACCAGGTTTGCACACATCTCAAAATTATTGAAAATGAAATGCAGAAATATTGCATTTACATAAGTATTCACACCCCTTAGTCAATACATATTAGAATCCCCTTTGGCAGCGATTACAGCTGTGAGTCTTTCTGGTTAAGTCTGTAAGAGCTTTGCACACCTGGATTGTACAATATATGGCCATTATTATTTTCACAATTCTTCAAGCTCCTACAAATTGGTTGTTGATCATTGCTAGACAACCATTTTCAAGTCTTCCCATAGATTTTGAAGCGGATTTAAGTCAAAACTGTAACTTGCCCACACAGGAACATTCACTGTCTTCTTGGTAAGCAACTCCAGTGTAGATGTGGCCTTGTGGTTTAGGTTATTGTCCTGCTGAAAGGTGAATTAATCTCTCAGTGTCTGGTGGAATGTAGACATATCCAGGTTTTCCTGTAGGATTTTGCCTGTGCTTAGCTCTATTCCATTTCTTTTTTATTCTGAAAAACTCCCCAGTCCTTAACAATTATGAGCATATCCATAACATGATGCAGCCACCACTATTCTTGAAAGTGGTGAGAGTGGTACTCAGTAATGTGTTGTATTGGATTTGCCCCAAACATAACACTTTGTGTTCAGGACAAAAAGTTAATAGCTTTGCCGTATTTTTTGCAGTACTACTTTAGTGCCTTGTTGCAAACAGGATGCATGTTTTGAAATAGTAACTACAATGTTGTTGATCCAGCCTCAGTTTTCTCTTATCACAGCCATTAAACTTATGTAGCTGTTTTAAAGTCACCATTAGCTTCATGGTGAAATCCCTGAGTGGTTTCCTTCCTCTCCAGCAACTGAGTTAGGAAGAATGCCTGTATCTTTGTAGTGACTGGGTGTATTGATACACCATCCAAAGTGGAATTAATAAATTCACCATGCTCAAAGGGATATTCTGTGTCTTTTTTTTTTTACCCATCTACAAATAGGTGCCCTTCTTTGCGAAGCATTGGAAAACCTCCCTGGTTTTTGTGGTTTAATCTGTGTTTGAAATTCACTGCTCAACTGAGGGATCTTACAGATAATTTTGTGCGGGGTACAGAGATGAGGTAGTCATTCAAAAATCATGGTAAACACTTATTGCACACAGAGTGAGCACATGCAACTTATTATGTGACTTGTTAACCCCCTGAGGTCGATGTCCACACCCCCATGGAAATCGAATTAGCTTAATAAAAAAATCCCAATACAAATCCATCAGTTTAAGAGATATCTGTTTTTTTTCATTGGGGTGGGGGGTGGGGGTACTACTAAGCGAAATGGAATTGTTTTAAGAAGTTCATGCCAAGGATCATTTTGCTATTTGAGTTTGAATTTTAAGACCCCTTGAAGTATAAAAAATAAATATTTTGGGCCTTACTGCCATTACCCCATACAAACGCATTGAATAACATATTCACTACATAGAACAACAGATAGTCCCCCCCCCAAAATCAAAAGGAAGTTTGTTCTGAAGTGTCTGTCCTATATCTGAGAGATATAAGAAATGTATTTAACCCCTTATTTTTGGCACTAAACAGTCTAAGGGGGGGGGGGGGGTATACAGAAGATAGCCCTATTTGGTAAAAGACCAAGTCCATATTATGGCAAGAACAGCTCAAATAATCAAAGAGAAACGACAGTCCATCATTACTTTAAGACATGAAGGTCAGTCAATAGGGAACATTTCAAGAACTTTGAACGCTTCTTCAAGTGCAGTCACAAAAACCATCAAGCGCTATGATGAAACTGGCTCTCATGAGGAACGCCACAGGAAAGGAAGACCTGCTGCAGAGGATAAGTTAATTAGAGTTACCATCCTCAGAAATTACAGCCCAAATAACTGCTTCACAGAATTCAAGTAACAGACACATCTCAACATCAACTGTTCAGAGGATACTGTGTGAATCAGGCGTTCATTGTCTAATTGCTGCAAAGAAACCACTACTAAAGGACACCAATAAGAAGAAGAGACTTGCTTGGGCCAAGACACACGAGCAATGGACTTTAGACCGGTGGAAATCTGTCCTGTAGTCTCATCACGCAGCCCATATATGTTTTCATTTCTAAGACATTCTAAGGTTTGTATCATTCACAACTAAAGTTGCCAAATAACTCTGAATCTAGTATATAGGACCTGTTTCAATTGATCACATTTACGCTCAACACCAGTGTTCCATGTCTATGGCAGCAGCCTCTAAGGTGCAGGGATGAGTAACCAGGTGGTAGGCGGCTAGTGACAGTGACTAAGTTCAGGGCAGGGTACTGGGTGGAGGCCAGCTAGTGATGGCTATTTAACAGTCTGAAGGCCTTGAGATAGAAACTGTTTTTCAGTCTCTCGGTCACAGCATTGATGCACCTGTACTGACCTCGCCTTCTGAATGATAGCGGGGTGAACAGGCCGTGGCTCGGGTGGTTGATGTCCTTGATGTTCTTTTTGGCCTTCCTGTGAGATCGGGTGTTGTAGATGTCCTGGAGGGCAGGCAGTGTGCCCCCGGTGATACGTTGGGCAGACCGCAACACCCTCTGGAGAGCCCTGCGGTTTTGGGAGGTGCAGTTGCCGTACCAGGCGGTGATACAGCCCGACAGGATGCTCTCAATGGTGCATCTGTAAAAGTTTGTGAGGGTCTTAGGGGCCAAGACACATTTCTTCAGCCTCCTGAAGTTGAAGAGGTGCTGTTGCGCCTTCTTCACCACACTGCCAGTGTGGGTGGACCATTTCAGATTGTCAGTGATGTGTATGCCGAGGAACTTGAAGCTTTTCACCTTCTCCACTGCGGTCCCGTCGATGTGGATAGGGGCGTGCTCCCTCTGCTGCCTCCTGAAGTCCACGATCAGCTCCTTCGTTTTGTTGACATTGAGGGAGAGGTTATTTTCCTGGCACCACTACGCCAAGGTCCTCTCCCCCTCCCTGTAGGCTGTCTCGCTGCTGTTGGTAATCAGGCCTACCACTGTTGTGTCGTCTGCAAACTTGATGATTGAGTTGGAGGCGTGCGTGGCCACGCAGTCATGGGTAAACAGGGAGTACAGGAGGGGGCTGAGCACGCACCCTTGTGGGGCCCCTGTGTTGAGAATCAGCATAGTGGAGGTGTTGTTGCCTACCTTCACCACCTGGGGGCAGCAAATCAGGAAGTCCAGGACCTAGTTGCACAGGGCGGGGTTCAGACCCAGGGCCCGAGCTTAAGGATGAGCTTGGAGAGCACTATGGTGTTGAAGGCTGAGCTGTAGTCAATGAACAGCATTCTTACATAGGTATTCCTCTTGTCTGAACCTCACAGGCGCGACAAGGATGGCGGCCTCGCAACTAGCTCTTAGGAAACTTTGCGGTATTTTGTTTTTTAATGTAGAATTTTTTTACATTATTAGCACAGAAAGTGTTTTGTATCATTACATACAGCCAGGGAAAACTATTGGATATCAGAGCGGCGGTAACTCACCAGCATTACGACCAGGAATATGACTTTCCCAAAGCAGATCCTTTGTTTGCTCTCCCCAGGGCAATTTAACTGATTCCAGCGGCTGACCCAAAACATCGCCGGCGGAGGAGAGGCATTCGGAGCGGCCTGCTGGTTCGACTTAGGAGGCGCGTACACCACCCACCGCTTCCAAGTATACTACTCGCTAATGTTCAGTCTCTGGTTAACAAACTCGATGAGCTCCGGGCAAGTATTTCTTTCCAGAGAGACATCAAGGCCTGTAACATACTTTGTTTCACGGAAACATGGCTCTCTGGGGATATTCTGTCGAAATCCGTCCAGCCAGATGGGTTCTCAGTTCATCGCGCAGACAGGAATAAATATCTATCCGGGAAGCAGAAGGTCAGAGGTGTGTGTTTCATGATTAACGACTCATGGTGTAATTGTAGTAACATACAGGAACTCAAGTCCTTCTGTTCACCTGACCTAGAATACCTCACAATCAAATGCCGACCGTATGATCTCCCCAGAGAATTTTCTTCGGTTATAGTCACGGCCGTGTATATCCCCCCTCAAGCCGATACCACGACGGCCCTCAAAGAACTTCACTGGACTTTATGCAAACTGGAAACCACATATCCTGAGGCTGCATTTATTGTAGCCGGGGATTTTAACGAAGCAAATTTGAGGACTAGGCTTCTGAAGTTCTATCAACATATCGACTGCTAAAATCCTCGACCATTGCTATTCGAACTTCCGGGATGATTATAAGGCCCTCCCCCGCCCTCCTTTTGGCAAATCTGACCACGACTCCATTTTGCTCCTCCCTTCCTATAGACAGAAACTCAAACAGGAAGTACCCGTGCTAAGGACTATTCAACGCTGGTCTGACAAATCGGAATCCACACTTCAAGATTGTTTTGATCACGCGGACTGGGATATGTTCCGGGTAGATGAATACACTGAAACGGTGACTGAGTTTATCAGGAAGTGTATAGGTGATGTTGTGCCAACTGTGACTATTAAAACCTACCCTAACCAGAAACCGTGGATAGATGGCAGCATTTGCGCAAAACTGAAAGTGCGAACCACCGCATTTAACCATGGCAAGGTGACTGGGAATATGGCAGAATACAAACAGTGTAGCTACTCACTCCGCAAGGCAATTAAACTGGCAAAACATCAGTATAGAGACAAAGTGGCGTCGCAATTCAACGGCTC